ACTCTCTCACTGAAATCACAAACCCGATATTTTTGAAAAGATTTTCTATTTTTTCGCTTAAAATTCGTGAATAGATTTCTCTCTTCAACGTTGAGTTATAAAAAATGGGTCATAGTAACATGGTTGGTTTTTAAACCACACCAAACTCTTAGGGATCGACGCTTAGAACGTGAAGCTCCCAATATTTTAGCCTACCAGCAGTCTTTTTTTTTTAATTGGGCTTCCTTGCTGCGATTCGTAAGTCCATAAAATTTTATAAATAATGCTACTTGATATAATTTAGATATTTTCGGCAATATTATGACCATTGCTTCTATTGCGTCTAGAATAACCTCTCCTACAATATCTACAATATATTGAAGTTGCATAAACAATATTTTTAACAGGTTATATGATTCCCAATGATGGCAAAAAAAGAGCGATGTTGGATTTTGGAAAATATCGATCTTTTACTTTTATTTAGTAAGGTGATATTTTATGACTAGATTTAATTCTTTTTTCATCAAAGCAAAAATGCAATTTATCAATTTAACGTGAGACGGTTAAACTGAAATAGTGCTTAGCATGCTTTAGACCAAGAACTGAGTAACTTTCGGAAATGTTATTCGACGTGAACTTTGAACTCAGACAGCCTGATGCTGAAAGTTTTAATTTCAGCATGCAAAATTGCATGTTAAATCGCACCGGATGCAATTGAGTCTTAATTAGAATCAAATTGAACCCACATCCTATAGATGCCAGATAAGTCACATCTATTCTCGAACTTTGACTACCCGTTTGGACTAATTAATATGCCTAATAGTTTTGATTGGTTTTGGAGGAAAAACAAAAACTATTATTCAATTCTGAATCCCTGGAATCACTTCAACATACCTTTGAATCAATACAAAATAATCGATGTCTTACAAATTCGATTGAATTGTCTTTTCGAAAATTTAAAACTTATTGTGGACTATTGAAAAATAAAAAATCGCATAACTATTTAAGTTGCTTTTATTTGCCATATACAAAAAAATATTAAAAAGTTAGTTGTATAGGAGATAGTAAATTGAGAGATAAGGAAGTTATTCGTTCATTAATTAAAAACAATGAAAATCAAGAAGTCGCCTGTGGCTATTACTTTCTCTAATAATAGGATAATATTCACATTGTGGTACCTCGTGTACCTTTTAGATACTGTTGTACTAGAAACGCAAAAGTACACAGGGAAAACAAGAAAAATGTACGCTTTCAATGCTTAATCACGTACCAATGGTTGAAAGGATTTTAAAAATAAAAAATTTGCCACTAATAAACTAAATTTTGATTTTGATAAAGACACGGTGTTGTCGAAATAATTGTCATGTCATAATATATAATTTCGTGAAAATCTGAACTTTTAGTTCTTATTTATTTTGATAAATGGATTTTCATCAAGTAAAGGCCACCTCAGTTCAATTTCTAATAAATTAACTACATCACAACTTCGTTGACCAAGTTAAAATCATCAGCACAAGATAAACTGGAATTTATATCATTATACCAATATTATCGGTGCCTGATTTTAGCCTCATTCTAAAGGAAATGGCAAACATTTATTTATTTTATGTATTTATGAGATATATCCCCTCTGTAGCTATTAAATAAAAGAATTTGAAGTTAAATTAATATATCTAAAATATACTATTGTCCTGTCTCTACTCCTTGTTGACAAATTATATTTAATTTGAATCAAAATAAATGGATGTAATTTGACGGCAATTGAAATTCAATTACTAATGTAAGAACGAGCCAAACTAAATCGAGTGGAAATTGTACGAGAAATAAGGACTTTTCAGATAACTATTCCGACCTAATGATTTATAAAAAACATTCGAAAAGAACTTGATTTGGAATTTAAAAGAATTGGTAAGATGACGATAATTCCAATGAATTAATTCTGCGCGTCAATGGGTCGACCTGATATCGACTAAATTCCAAGTTTTTGTTTTGAGGTTTATGTAATGAACCAGACTTTTTTTCAATAGCCGATAGGGAACGGCGGAGAAAATGAGAGTACTTTCTACTTGCTTCTCGGCTACGCTTGATTTAAATTTATTTATAAATTTAAATATGTTTATCGGCGATGACACGCTGTGTTAAATGTTGGACAATAGGTAATTCGTTTTGGCGGCTATTAGGGTAATTAGGTAAATATAAATATTTCCCACGATGGTGTAGTAAGTGTAATTTAGACTACCTGCTTAATAATTTTTTTCTATCAATTTTTATAACAAGTTCTTTTAGAAACAAAATAGTTCTACAGAGAAAAGCAATCAAAATATTGCCACCACCATTAAATCGAATATTTATAAGGTTTTCTATTCTATATTTAATAATTTATTTATTTATTTAATTGCATTCAACATACTTCACAGCCCAATAACAGATATTACAAACTCAAATCTTAGCTACATTAACCGCACGTTATAGCAAAACGAGAAAAAAAAAGAAACTAAATTCCTTGTATAAACCAAAAAACATCAGGTAACACTAAATACAATACTTTAGGGTTTAAATGCTAATTTTTTCAAGTGGTTTTTGAATGAATTAGTGGAAGTATAATAAAAAATATCAATTTTCTTTGTTAGTCTGTACGCTAAATTGCGCATCGGAATAGTGGCGAGTTTGCATCGGTAGGAGATCTATTTAAAGCAAAAACGCTACTTCTATTTGTAAAATAGTTAATACAGTTGAAACTTATACTACTTGGGACAAAAGAACAATCAATTTCGTAATGAACTAATTTAAAAAAGAACTTTAGTACAGATTTTTTTCCGTCTTGATTCTAGTGTTGTTTTTTTTATTTGAGTTAATGTTTGTGGCTAGATTTTAGGTTGAATTTCGCCATATCATCATTACTTGCAATGACTCTGTAACTATTAAATAGTTTGTACTACATGCCTGTTAGGTTCAAATAAATAAATAAGCAACGAAATTCTTGAAGTAAAGTTTGATATAAAAGCTTAAAATTTCTTCTGAATTTTTTCTATTCCTTCTGTATATTTTTGGTAAAGGAGGACCAGACCAACGAAACGTACTCAAGTATACTTCTTACTAGTGATTTGTCCAAGGTTTTAAAAGTTATTATTTGTTGAAAATTTGATTCGTTCCGGAGAATAAAACTGAACATTATATTCGCCCTTTTATTTGTGTTATGTATATGTGTTATTTTTGTGCCAAAATCTTAGTTTTTTGTGGGTACTATTATATTATTGAAGGATATGATTGACTTGTCAAACAATTACATTCTTCTTCAAAATTTTATGAAATGAATTACAAATGTTTGTAATTTTTTATGAGCACACAAAGGACGTTATATCCATCGGAGATCAGATATTCAAAAAAATTAACATAAACAACTGTTTAACACAGTCGCCGAAGAAATTATGAACGAAAATCTACTCGTCCCGTGTGCAACAAATTATTTCAAATAGATGTATACTTATAAAAAATATATAACGGGATAGACGTGTATATTACAAATGTCAGATATTTCCACCTTATTAATGCACCATTTTATTCCAAACGTCTCTTGTTTCTCCTAATATTAAGCATCAAACTTTAGAAACAACCTGCTTTGCTCTCTCGGAAAGAATTTGGTATTGGTTTTCCTGGACCCGTTATCATTCTTTTCAAAATCTCTAAGGATAACATATCTGAAGACTACACGCCGGCAGTATACCATGCATTTTTAGAATTACTAAATTTTAGTTTTTCGGATTAATCTTTTTATATTTTAGATTGGCACATTCGTTAATTAAATTCCCTTGAAATGTGTAGGTTGTGAATGAAAAGCGATATAACAATGTTTTACTTTCATCTTTCGTTTCACAAAAAATGGCTCATGTTATTTATCCACGTTTCAATTTGGAATAATTTTTATAAGTCAATTTATAAGTCAATAAATAAAAGGTACGACATTTATAATGTTGTAGCAAAATTTTACATAATATACTCTGATTTTGATATTGCCGTAATGGCGGCGGTCAGAATTTGATTAATTACCAGATCACAAAGCTTTAGTCTTACAAACCATCTACATTATGTTATCTGTTAACAGATAATGGAAAACGGATATTATTTAATATAATCTGTATTATAGGAGGTATGGATTTTTACAATTTTGAAGCATGTTTTGTTCCTATAATCACCTTAATTACCGTAACAAATGTTTATGACGTAACATCAAGCTTGCGTTGCAAATTTCTGCAAAACAATTATTATATTTAAATGAAATTTTACTTAACATCGCATTCCTTACATTCTCGAGATAGTGAAACTACTGCGAATTGCTGAGAAATCGATAAAATAATAACAGGAAGTCGATTTCTGAATAATGAAAATTAAAAGAGAGCAATGAAAAATAGCGGTGGAACATTATTATTACTTGCTTTTAGTTGAAAAACGCACAAAAAATAAGTAAAAAACGAAACAAAGTGTTTTCTAAAAAGTTGGCACTATTGCAATTTTAATTAGAATATCTGGACAAGAACTGAGGTTTAAGGTTTTTGACGAAAAATATGATGATTAGACGCTTGTGTCACGTAGTGCTGTTGATATTTTGAAAATGAGGATTTTTTTGACATCGAAAGTATTTTTAGATGGGCGTCATTTTTCTCTAAAATGCTCCTACTAAATGTACCAAAAAAATATATGCTTTATAAAGCTAAGCTTTATTCGAACAGTTTTTGGCGTATCTATAAAAATAAAGTGTGTAGTGGCCTAATATGTTATTAAATGAACAGCGTAAGCTCGTAAATGACTGGACTCATTTTAACAAACTTAGTCTTCTCCTGTCTTGTCTTGTCTAATTGTTAGAAATGTCGTTAAATTGCGCTTTAGTGCACTCCATGACCTCTTAAATACATATTTATATCGTTCAAATCCAACCGTTCGGACACAACCTAGATACGATGATATAAATGCCACGCAAATATGGTTTCCTCAAACATCTGCTATATCCAAAGTTATTTATGCAGACTCGCAAAACGAAATAACACTATGAAGGATAACGTACAACTTTCCCAAAGCCACGGCTATCAGTCTTCACTTTCTTTTGCAAAAGCGATGGTGACCTTGATCCGTTAACCCCGAAGATGTTATAACTATTTAAAGAGACAACAAAATGAAGTGTGTAACGTTACTGACCGTTTTTATATCCGCGAGTGTCGCGATTCAAGTGCCGCCTTCGTGGAAAGAAATCGACACAGACGATAAACTGAAAGAAGTGCCACAAGACAATAACGCGCGTAGTGATAATGCTCAGCAGAAACGTTGGACTCCGATCGTCGGTTCGCTTGGGAGTCAAGTAGCGAATCCCAATCAACTTGTACTCGACGGTAATGGCATGTACATATTTCCTCCCGGAAACGACAAGGTTAATTTTAATCCAGACATATCGGCTGATAATAAACCATTCAACTATCAACCTGTACCACCCCAGCAACCAAAAGCGGCTGAAGAGATTTTCGCCACTTACTCACCGATAAGACACCGTAACATTTATTTGGAGCGTTCACAACCGGTTCCTCATCCCGCGAGATCAACTCACCAGGATAAATTGCAACAACCTCCATTTCTCCAAAATTTTTTACCAGTTTTTTATCCGGAGAACATCGAAAATAAACCGATAGGTATCACGCAGACGCCTCCCGTGTTTGTTACAGAAAGTTACAGAAACGTCCTGGTGCAAAGCCCAACTGAAACGAGCTTTCCACAGGAAAACCATCCCACAATTAAGCCGTCAGTTTTCGTTAGACCCAAAGACAGTAGAGCCAAAAGCACAGAGTCTAGAAGAAAATCCCGCCCCTCGAGTCATTCTGTTCGTCCTGAAAGGCGGTACACCAAAGTTCAACAGCCGATTTCATTTCCACCCAAAGAAACTCGACGCGACAGGGCCAGAAAAATCGTTCCTCGAACAGAAGTTAAGGAAAACGAAAGTCTATCTTTTAGGAACCATTTGAAAAAAAAATACAGAGATGATAAACTACACGAACCTGAAAACAACAAAGACATAGAACGAGATGACAATGAATGGGAAAGAAAAGGGGATGATCATAGAATAAAGAAAATAAGGGACAGAGGGAGCCCCGAATCAGTCGAATCAAACGAATCCGCGCCATCAATCGAATCTAGAGAATCTCCCGAATCTTTCGAATCTAAAGAATCAGACGAATCAAAGCGATCAATCGAATCTAAGGAATCAAACAAATCTATTTATTCCGGCGAATCTAAGGAATCTGCCGAATCAAATGAATCTAAAGAAATAGAAGATTACGACGAATCGAACGAGTCGATAGAGTCCCAAGAAGATGATGATTCATCCGAAGAAGAACGTATCAGAAGGAGTAAAGAGGAGGAGGCAAATGATATTCCCAGCAAGCCAATTTATCCGGGTGAAGGGAAGTGGGCAATACCAGGGTTGAAACATAGACCACATATTACTCAACATAAATTTCACCGACCGAGTGAGGATATTGAAGAAAAGAAACCGGATGGCTCCGATGTTTTTGAAGATTTAGAAAAGTACTTTGAAAGTCAGAAAATAAACTTTGGACACGAACTGCGGCAATTTAGTCCTGACGACCGACCGAAAGTCCAAAGCGAAATTCCAGCTTCTGCGGCGGGTAAGGTTTTGTACATTAAACAAAGATAAAAATTTTTCCTTATGGGTAACATTCTTTTGTTGCAGATTTCTTAGCTCTGCCTCTCACAAGCGACATCAAGCCGGTCCATTCTCCCAACCCTATAGTAATTTACAACCCATTTAATGAATTTCCAACTTTAAGACTAGGACCACCAGAACATTCCACGCAAACCGTCATTCATCCCCAGGAAATTATTAAAGAAAAACCGACAACAATAAGTTCGAAAACCAAAGAGGCTCACTCAAAGGATCAACAAGAAGAAGATGAGGAAGATGACGAAGATGACGAAGACGAATTTGTTCCCACGCAACTATATACACAAGTAAGAAAATCGGAGAATGAGGAACATCTGCCATCAGACCCGCTTGAAAGTGGGAGGTTAAAAGAGGTGATAAAAGATTCCAAGGTCCAAACAGTATACAGCGAAGAAGGTTACGAGGATCTGGCGTACGACCACGAGGGTCACGAGAAAGAAGCGGAACAAGACGAGGGCTACTCCGAGTTTGAGAAAGAAAAACAAGCTAAAGGTCAGTTAAAACGGCAGACTCCCTCCAACACCAAAGAGCAAGATTCTAAGACAACTAAAGAGGTAGTCGACGCCCTGCCTGCAGATTCGATTTATCCTAGTGCACCAAAAGCTACCGCGGACAGCCAGAAAGACGCAACAGTATCCAGTAAAGTAAAAAATAACAATTTCGTAACTACTCAAGAGCTAAAAACTACCGCTGTTAAAGACAATGCCGACGGCAATATCGAAGTTCAAATCGACAGTGAGGTTCAGGTAATCCTGCAACCCAATAATTCCAGCAAATCTCATAAATTCGTCAAGATTTATCCAAAGATTATTAAGGAAATCGAGAAAGAAAAACTAGGCGGCGAATCGAAAGATATTGTTACAAACAAAGGTACCTCAGATGAAATTAAAAATCGCGACAGTAATATTACACTAGATAACAAACACGAAACATGGGATCAAGAACTTCTGCAGACAAATGGAACTGAAAAACCCATTGCAACTGTCACAGAAAACGTAGAAGCTGAAAGCCTCGAAAAGATTGACGTCCAATTCGAAAAAGGCGTCCTCTCTACCTCAGATAGAAAAAAGCGGTCGGCTGAATTCGCAATCGATTTAAGCTTTATCGATAAAATTAACCACACCGTACCCACAAAACCTCCAAAAAATTCTTATAATACTCAAAAGTATCCTTACTATAGCGATCCTGCTGTAAATAAGGATTCGCCGCTAAGATACGCCGAGGACATGGGCAACATTCCCGTCAAAATCGAAGGAAGATTATCGTTTTATGAAAATGCGGAAAGGATGAAATGCCCAGAAGTAGAAAACATCGATCCAGTTCCGGATCGAGTTAAAAACGCTGGCAAAGACGAACCCAGTGAAGAAGATGAGGACTCGGACGAAGGAGATGAAGAATCTAGCGAAGAATATCCGGCTTCACCAAGAGCTCCTAGGATTAAATTAGGAAATAAAATAGACTGCCTTAAAAACCGATACTTTGGGGAGAATCCATTGGACAGTCCATTTTTTAAGGAAGAGCTTGTAGGTCCAGTTAAGCCGATATTTAAGGACCTTGATCGGTCTGCGTCTATAGAGACTCAAGACAGTGCGTCAAAGGAATCAGCTATGGTCGAAAATTTTAACGAGATTTTTAAAAACGGCAAAAAAGATGGGGAAAGAATACATTCCACTAGGACAAAAGATAAGGAATATACTTTACTGAAGAAGCAGGCCGATCATATAAGAACTTCTACTCAAGAAGTGATAACATCCACTTCTACGTCGTATCCAGCAACTAACACTCCCAAGCAAAATATCGTAGTCCCTACTCCACTGCCTATTATTTCACTAATGACAACACCCAAATATATGATAACACTAACGCCAAAAAATATTTACGATCAAATTACGTTGCTGGAGTATTTACCTAAGCCACTCGTTGAAAATGCGAAAAATACTGACGCCTCAGCTGGAAAATCGCAGGATGCAGGGGATACCGATGGAGCAAATAGGCAGTCCAAGCATTTGGAAGACCAAGACGAAGAATCTTTTGAATCTGACTCCCAAGTTAGATTTAAACTGCGTCGTCCTTACTTTCCAGTTTTTGACGTCAACAAATTCATTCCACAACAAAACAAGATTAATAAGGAAGTTCAAGAGGAAACGATAAAATCAGGCATGGTAGAGCCTACAAAACAAGATGACAAAACACTAAAAGAACTTAGCGAAGCAAGCACCTTAAAACCAGAACCTTTAAGACGTAGAAGAATTCAGCTTAAGCGACCGTATTTTCCAATTTTCGACATAAACAAATTTATCACCACAACTCCTTACTACATAATAAATCCCCAAGCAAGTACGGTTTTGCCCAAAGAAAAGGTAGTTAGCGAGGTGTTTTATAAAGAAGAAATCAAGCCCAGTGAACAGATGGCAGTTTTCGCAGACGTTTTAAACAATATCAAAAGTTCTAAACAAAACAGTGTGTCTACCAAACTGGAAAAAATTCCACTGCAAGCTGCTTCCGATTACGCAGAGCCTTCTGGCGTCACCATAAGTTCAGTCGAAGCAACGCCAGCTCTAAAAGTTAACAGACCGAGAGTCAAGAAGTATCAGGATGCAAATACGCGCAACGCTGTTCTCACCGAACGACCATTCAGGCCCAGCCTCCCCGATTCAATCAGAAAGGAACACGAATCCACTGAAAAGTCCAGTAACTCAAAGACCCTTAACGTCAGAACCAAAGTAAAACGTCGAAGACGGCCAACGGTAACCACAACCGAAAGGTCAACGACCGTATCGACAACAGTCAAACCTCCCGCGATAGATTTCATTGAAGAGACGGAAACCATTTTAGGACTGGTTCCACCAGAACAGTCAAATTACAATACAATTGTAATAGAAACTCCGAAAAAAATCGGCGTGACACGTTCACCGCCATCCAAAAATCGAAAGCGTTTTGAACATAAGATCACTAAAGTTCCAGCTACTACGGAGGCCGACCCAAGTCCAGCCCCAGTGGTTGAAGAACTCGAAGAACCAGTTGTGTCCCGATTTAATAAGTATATTTATTTGGGATTAAGGCCTCCTCCTCCCCAAAAGTATCGAGGATATTCCGACTACCTTTCGCAGGAAAATTTAGTGAAAAGAAGAGTTCGTTCGGTTAGATATAAAAGGGAAGCAAACAGACCGGCATATTCGGAACTTTCTAGAAACAGAGGCAGGCAAGAAGAGATTCTAGAAAAAACAGTTGTTGACGATATCGACGACTATGTACCTCACCGACCAAGAAACTACTATTACGACGAAAAAACTGGAAAAATTGTTTATCTCAATAAACCGTATGAAAAAGAAGAATTGGAAGAGGGTGATGTGGAGGTGGAATATATAGAGGAGGAACCAGCCACTCATCCGACTCCTAAGAAACCTGCGAAGGCAACTACGAAGCCCTTACTGGCTACCGCTACACCTCCGCCTGCCGGAAAAAGCTTCGTCGATTTTATCCATAAACTTAGAAGCGATCCAAGCTATAAACTAATACCGGATCCTACGACCACGGAAAAAGGCAGCGCAGCTTCTAGCACCGAACCCACTACATCCGCTACTACTATTTCCACAAATCCCCCTGAATTTTTAAATATTCTAGCCAAAGTCAGAAGTGACACTAGTTACAAATTTATCGAAGATCCGAAGGATTCTAAAAAGAAGCAAACCACTATGACAACGGAATCTGCAATAGAAGAAGTTGTTGAAGAGCAAAGTGAAGAATCTCGACTAGAAAGCGTGCAAAATTCACCAGGAGGCCAAAATATTGAGCTCTCCAATATCCAGATTTTCGACATTTCGGATTATCTACCAAAAGTTAAAAACTATGCTCCTAAAACAGCGATTGACTATTCGAAATACAAAACCATTGAACGACAAAAAATCAATCATAAGCATGAAGAGGAAACACCTCAAGTACCTTCCCAAGACGCGGTTGTTTCTGATGAACAAGAGAGTAATAATTTGGACAACCTAGCTACTACTCCCGTACCCACCACCACCAGCTCAATAGCGGATAGTGAACATTATGAAACCTCAACTCCTTCGTCGACACCAACAGTACAATCTAAAAGAGGAAAAAGACCCACGACTACTGTCGTGGAAACAACCGAAGCTGAAACTACGAGAACGCCAATGCGCAGAAGACAAAGACCTCAAACATCGAGAGGGACTCGTCCTCCCCCAGAGACTAGTAGAACAACAGAACAAGTCGAGAGAGTGTATCCAGTAAATGATCCTCCAAAAAGGGTATATAGGAGAAGGCCTCAAAGAATACGACTCCAATCCGAATCCTTCGAAGAAGAGTTAGAAGGAGATGCAAGCGCTAGAAGTCTGAGAAGACGATCTGAATTAGGTTCCGAGGTCGCCAAGCCATCAAATCTGGAAGACACATTGGATGAACCAGTTCTGCGCTTTAACAACCATGGAGAAAAAATTGTGGATAGGGATGACAGAAGCATAGACGAAGAAAATGGTAATAAAGACAACCAAGAAGTTACTTCCCAAATCAAAAGCGACGTTGTAATTATGAAAACGTACGACAAAACTAGAAAGCACGGGGGAAACTATAGAAAGGCAAAAGACGATGAAAATTTTGAATTTGGCAATTTAGAAACTAGGAAGAATGATGAAATCAATAAAGTAGCAGCAGCGGGCTCTGAAAAAAATAAAGTCTTACAAGTTGAAGTAATAAAGAAATACGATGAAAATAAGAAACATGGCGGAAATTATAAAGCAGAAGATGAAGACGACGATTTTGAAGAAAGATCCTACAGGCAAACTGAAGAACTAAATAAAAGGAACTCGTTAGATAGTCAAACTGAAGCATCAATTTCTGGAAACTCTGCCAATGCCGATCGGGATTTCTCTAGAAAACGCGGAGGTAACTACAAGCAAATACGAAAATTACCCATACAACAAAGTGGCGATTACAAAAATGAAGATAGTGGTCAACCCCTCGATAACGTGAAGAATCAGAATGAAAACAGGCATAGACTTAAGACCGCTAGAATTGTGGTGCCAAAAAAGTCCCAAGTCGATGTTTTCAAAAAATACGACAAAAAGAAAAAGCATGGGGGAAATCTAAAGTCTGAAGAAGATGTTGAACTGGAAGAAATTTCAGACCTCGGAGAAGCGCCAACGCACGAGATTCAAAAGTCGCAATTCAGCAATAATGGGAACGAATACTCCACAACACCAAGAGCCCTAAATACACGAAGAACAAGATTAAGAACCACACAAAGCAGTACAAGAAGAACGGGAATTCAGAGATTAGCAGACGTCGTTCCAAAACCTGAGCACTTTTACAACGATCCTCAGTTGCCGGAACAAATAAATCAAATGAAAGATGAGAAAATACTTAAAATGATTAACTCCGACGAGATAGAAGAGATAACTGAAGGAGATGAGATCGAAAAGGCGGACGAGATATCGGAGAGAATGGATAATGTAGGAGATAACGATGAGAGTACTAGCGCAAAGCCGCTTTTTATAAAAGATCCCAGCAAAAGATTGTATTTCTACGCACCTGTGTAATAAATTTTATTTTATTTGGTTTGTAAATATTGTTTTATAATAAAATCATTGACTGTTCCGACTTTATTTTCGATAAATTGTGCGTCCAACCCACATCCACAGAAAAAAGGAAACCGAAAACAAAAGTTCTACATTCTCTGAAACCCAAGCAGGACTGGAAAACAACTTTGATAGGACCCTTTAAAAGTTTTCCAACAATTCGAAAGCTCTTTATACTTCACCGAAACAAAATCTGTGGAAACCAAGACAAACATTAATCGGTAATGCCAATATTTGACGTAGGCACAACAACACAATCAACAAGTTTCACCAATTCACTCGACTATCGAATATCGGCGTTTATGTAGTTTCATATGTATAATGCACACAGTTGCATTAATTTAGTGCTGCGTTCGTCCAAAAAAAAAATGGAAACTCGCTCGCGGTACTATAAAGCCTGTCCAAATAAAACGTTTGCTGTTGCCAGTAAAGTTGTTTGAAATGTTTGAAATATGTTGGGGATGCGTTGTTCAACCTCAGAGGCGTCAACATAATTGCAATTTGTAGTATAACCCAACAAATATCCGGTCTAACAAGACCGTAATCAGAAAATTCTCAATAAAGGTGTTCGAAATATAAACTAATCATATGATAATCATATAATTATATCATATAATTATGAGGAAAAAAAATAATAACTTAACTTACAACTAGATGCAAGTGTTAACGATCGACTTGTGGAACATTAACAATTTCTCGAGATATCAATAGACTTAAGCTCTTGGGGAAGATGATTCCGAATGACATAAGCTAGCGCTAATATTAAGCACTTCTTTAAATGAGTTAAATCGAACTGTTCTTCTAGTCAAATCTCACAGGCCTCTCTTAATTAAACAAACTAATGATTAAAATTTGATTTTAGAAATATGACCTCATTGACCAAATGGCTACACATACACTTAATGATCTACCGTGGTATGGCATCAGTAAGGCGGAATATTTAGCCAATTTTAATCAAACTTGTCTTTATAATAATAACTTCGCTAAGGTTTTCGCTGCAATCAGTAAAAAGGAAACAAAATTTTATTATCGTGGAACTTCTTTGAAAGTCTTAAATTGCATTATAGACATTACTAAAGGTTAATTCAATTACTCAAAAGCGCTCTCTCCGTTCTTGACGTCCCTATTCCTACGAAGAATTTTAATATTAGCACTTAAATCAATCCTCAGTTTAAATTGAACCTGCAAATTCTAGAGCTTAAACATAAATTTGACAGATAAAAACTATTTTTATTCATATATATATATATATATATATATATATATATATATATATATATATATATATATATATATATATATATATATATATATATATATATATATATATATATATATATATATATATATATATGTATTTTTTCTGCTCTATGGTAACGTTCTGGTCTCCTTCCGTATTATTTTTAGATGGTACATCTATCTTAGTATTAAACAGCTGACATTAAGGAATTAGCTTTCGGCTTATTCACACATACACCACAAAATTTCTTTAGTTAAGCTTTAAAAAATTCTATTCCTTAGGATTCAATACTACAGGGTATTTAATATCTAGACTACACTTTTTAAGACAAGATCAAAGTCTACTCGGAAGGCAAAAGATGAGCCAATTACAAGGTTAGCTGGAACTCTGAAGACAGGGCCGCTGTGAAACGACAAGCTGCTAGCTAATCTGCAAGTTGTAAATCAAAGGAAAGTAGAGTTTGACGGCGGCATCCTAATGAGCATGCCCTTCAAGTGATGAAATATCAAAAATCAAAATTAATAATTTGTTACCATTCTTCTAAATTTTATTACATATTTTTTTTATGTTTATGCAGATCAATTTTATTAATGCTATTATTATTACCAAAATGTAGGAAAATGTAAAACAGTGGAGAAGCCGCCGGCAAATTCGCTATGAACAGCCAATACCAATGGAAAAGAGAATTGTTTCCCTCGAGGCAGCAAGAACTCTCCAAAGGGAAATGGGGTATGGATTACGAACTCTTCCTACGACCAACGGAAGCATGGAGAAAGCTTACTCCCCACGCAAAAGAAGCTGTAATAACTCAGCAAGCACCCGAAAATAATGTTCACTCCCGTGAGTAAACGCTCAGTACTATAGTCCGGAATAGCATGTACTATCTATTTTGTTTCAGGAGTGGTTTATCCGTACGCGATAGCTGCCGGAGCAGCGAGCGGATTCCTACTGCTTATACTGCTGGCGGCTTACTACTTTACCAAGAAACGCAGGGAGAAGGTTTCCGATGAAGAACAGACGTCGACGAGCATTTTGGTTTATCCTTCGACCCACGGAGGCAGTGTGCCGCAATTTTTGTAAGTAATTAACTCTATGGAAATTTTATTTTACCCTAAATCTCCTGCGCGCAAGATTTAGTCTTAGTCACAAAATTAGTTTTGTATCTATTGATGTTCGCAATATTTCTGTTCATATTTTATATTTCTGCCGGTTATTCACATTAATCAAAACAAAATAGAAAATGTTAACGTAAACAATTACACACGGAATTCTGTCAAGTTTCGTCGCATATATAATTGATGTCACCATAAATAAAATTCAAATAACGCGCACATTTTGTGTAATGCATGATGTTTCCGACCTATTAGCAACATTATATTCAATTCAATTCAATTTTACATAAGCAATTAGAAATGTTGCCCACATTCAAGGAGAAAGTTATAAAACTGCAAAATTCTCCCCGAATTCAAGCAAATTAAAACATTCTTGCTATTGGAATCTCTGAATTTTGTACACTTTCCTGGAAAATCTTTTGGCAGTTCAGACAGAAGAACCGCTTTACTACAAAACTGGATTTGCCTGACAAGTCCTTATTGTTGGGGATTAAGAATATACAACGCGACTTGCCATCAAGCAAAGTTTCCACTATCATTGATTATTACTTTTTTTCTTTTTTTTTGTCTATTTAAATTATGTGGAACTATATCTGACTTTATTTGGGAACTCCAATTATTTATTTTCGAGATTCCTTTTCTTTTATATAGCCATACATAATATGAATATTTCATGGAGGACCCTGTATCACATAGTCTTTACAACATTTTACTTCTATACCTATCAATTAATTTGCTCTGGAATATATATATATATATATATATATATATATATATATATATATATATATATATATATATATATATATATATATATATATATATATATATATATATATATATATATATATATATATATATATATATATATATATATGATGACACTATATTCCGGGATATCATCCGTTCGCTCGTTGAACTCCGGCTGGAATCCTGCATCCGACTGGAATCCTGCAAATCTTGCATCCGACTGGAATCCTGCAGACGTTTCGCCAAAATCTCACTTGGCATCTTCAATGCTCGCGCTCCGAAAACACTTATATATATATATATATATATATATATATATATATATATATATATATATATATATATATATATATATATATATATATATGTATATATATATATATATATATATATATATATATATATATATATATATATATATATATATATATATATATATATATATATATATATATATTGATTTTATCGGATTTGTTGTGTAATGGTTCAGGTCTCAAGGAATTCCAACGTATCAAAATACTATATTTAAACACTATATTTAAATATAAATACTATACAACAGCCGGGGGCCGGAGTATCGGCCTTACTAATCAATCCTACTGCCATTACCAAGTCTCGTTTTCAGCGTCCTTATTCAGGTTATTAATAAATATTATAAATATTTCGTTATTCAGCAATTATGATACAGGGTGTCACTACAGTAAGCTCTTCTTTCTTTCGCACTAAATTCCGCGTTACGCTAACAGTATTTGCACAGCTGTCGGAGAAAAAAAAATCCTTATTTTTAATTTGCAATTATTTTGGTAAATAACACAGACCAACAAAGATTTGGTGATTTGGCATTTTTCATTTTTGTGGACTAAACTAATAGAAAAACAATGTTTTTTTTGTTTCTATCGCGCAACATTTTGGAATTATTTTGTTAAATACTAAAATATGTAGTCAAAAGCCATGTCTTACAGAAAGCTTATTTTTCGTGTAATTCCGTTTATTGTAGGTAGTCGTTTCTTGAGGTTACTAAACATTGTGCAATTAAATTTCTTTTTAAAATGCCAAAACTTTGTAAAACCATTGCAGACGTTTTGCTATATGTATGGTTCTGTAGGGGTCAAGAAATTCAGAACGAAAACTACACCCTACAACAAAACTATGTCTATTTTAAAGTAAAAAGTGGTGATTAAGATAAACCTTGGGTGCCACATATTAATTGTAAGAAAGTTTAAGATATTGGAATAATGGAACCAGGATATAAGAATATAATACTAAAAATTGACATCAGACACCAGATGTCCCAATACCTGAGGATCCAGTCAATATAAAAGAAAATACTAACAGTTTTTCTGAACCTGAAATAGATGATGATCTGTCAATTTACAATAATAAAACAAGGATTTATAATGTAAAATTGTTCAATTTTATTGCCACCATTTTTTCTCTCTCTACGCACTCTACCACAGTTCAACAGCAGCATCCGCTGAGGATTTTTTTTTGGTCACAGACCAACACGAAAAAAAAACTGTAACCAACAGTTGTTCTCAGGTTGCCAAGAAGCACATTGACCGATAACAAAAAACGACCCCGCTTCCGCCACAGACCATTCGGGCCCATCCGGCCTTCAACCGGCATGGATGACAAAAACAGCGGGATCGACAACGATGACACACTTGAAAACTTTACACTTAATAAACCGATATTTATTTATTTAGTATTTTGGGACGATTACAAAGAATTTTGCCGAAAGCGGGCGGACATTGAACCGCCCTGTGCAATACTCACCACAGTTCAAATATACCGAGTACGATCGTAGAATAGACGCACGAGGTGACTTAACACATATGACACAAACGAACCTGACAGCACCCATCAGAGTTATTTTCACAATCACAACTTAATGACTTTGTGAGAGATTTAGGTTATTTAGGTTACTTAGGAGAATTTTTTAAATACCTATGCCAAATAAGGGGATTAAGATTTTGTGAAAACCATCATCAAATGTGAACAGGTTGATTAAAAAATCTTACGTGATATAGGAAAATACTTGTCAGAGTTAAATTTAGGAGGCCTAAATTATACAGAATCAAATGTCAAACCGAAATCAATTATTTGCACTATCGCTATGACTTACTAGGAAGCAAAGTGTTCCTATGGCTGTTAACGATGTATTGCATTATTATCGAAACCTAAAATTAAGTTATTTCTACAAATATCCTATAGTATCTTAGAAACTTCTTGTGTTGCACCAGCTTTTCCACGGTTAAATCAAATATGACGTCCACGTCCGATGTGTAAAGAAGTGATAGAAATAAATTTCCGGGTCTGGAGCAACCTAAATAATACAATGCCTTGATCGAAAAAATTTTCCTTTTCCATTCGTCCGGATTATTGGCGCATGACAGACGCTAACAAAGCACGCGGCGGGGAAAGAGCTTTTCGAAAGGAAAAACTTTTATACCGAGAAAAGTAATTTGTTTTATCTACGGAAACTAATTCAAATGTTGTATAGAAACCTAATGACGGAATTAATGGATTCTGTCGTTATCAATCTTGTGCAAATCCTATTGGTAGGCACTTGCGCTCAAAAACTGTTGTATAAACAATTTCTCAAGTCATGTCCGCAATAAACCTAATATTTTCCAAATCCTCGCGAAATAAATTGCGGTTATCTTCGCGGTGAGGATCTGCAGTTTTTGTAATGACCGAATAAATTGTACCAGCGAACTGGACTTAGTCAGCGCCAAATTTATCTTCCTTTAGAGCCAAATTAAATTGGATAAAGCGTGATAAATTATGAGAAGCGCTGGCCGAGGTACACGCGTTGGGATCCCTACACTATTCATAATTCATGACGCATCTGTCAATATCGATCTTTTAATGAAAAAATATATCGCCAAGGTGTTCTGAATGACACAAAATAGTTGAAATACTCAATAACTTTTAAACGATTCGAAATTGTTATTTAAAATTACAATTACTAAATAATATAATGCGTCCTTTTTGACGTTAAAAGTGGTCCGTGATTAAGGGTAATTTTTTAAATCACATAGTATATTTGGACACAACACAATAATAATATAGCGACTGGAATAATAGATTCAATATCCATTTTTGAAACAATTGTGCAAACTAGGCTGTAGGCTGTAAAATCATAGACATCACGAAAAAGTTCTGGATTGTAATCGTTCACCAGCCTTCGAAAGTTTCAATAAAAAATATTACACTTACTACAGATGTGGTTAATGTTATAGCATCTGCTGTGATTCGGTTATTGTACTTATTTAACCCCATTTCTGAGTCATATGTGACACTGTGATACCCAACTCTTTAACAGTTTTCTCATTGAAAAGGGCTGTACTACTACGACAGTGATCAAAGCTGCAAAATATTCTGTTCACGCCGGTGATAATAACCTATTAGGGAATTTGCCGATAATTTTAGTATAGGGGAATCCGTAAACTCGTATCATACACAGCGAATCTGCTGGAACCTATTTTCATAAGTAATATATTGTACGTGAAAGATCACCGCGTGTTGAATACGGATTTCATTTCTGATCACAGTTTGGTGTTTTGCTACCTCTCATTTACAGTTAAAAGTCGAAAACAAAGAATGCATACTTACAGATGCTAGAAGCATTTCGACAACCCGGCTTTTTACTATGATATGAACAAAATAAAATGGGACGAACTCTATGATATGCATGATATTGATAACAAAATTGAGTTTCTTACTACGAATTTGGTTAAAATATTCGATAGGCATGCGCCTGTCCGTTCTGCCTCATGTCCCTTGGCTCACAAATACTCTTAGCGATATATTTCTATAGATATAGAGCCTTCCAAAGTATAAAACTGAATAAATCAGGTTCAAATTGGGATACCTAGAAGCACATTGGCAATTTTGCTTTATCCTCGTTGAGGCGTGAAAAAGCGGCATATCTTAAGTTTGACGGGTCTCAGGATGCGTCGACTCTCTGGAAACTTTTGAAACCTGCACATATTCTCACTCAACCGGAGTAGCCAGATAACATGCAGGATTATGAGACGATAAATAAACATTCTCTTGCGGCTTTTTCGGGTACACAAGCAGAATTGATCAATTGCTTTCAGACTATGCGATATAACGCTTCTGAGTTTCATTTTCGCTTCCGTACAGCTGACGAAATAAAGTCAGGTCGTCTTAAATCAAATGCTTTGGGAATTGATGGAATTTCATTTTTGCCTGTTCTCCTCAATCACTTAATGATCTAAGGCCGACTAGCTTACTGCCTGTGTTAAGCAAGGTTCTGGAGAGGGTTGTCTACTTACAGCTCTATAAATTTGTTAAAAATAATGACATTCTACCTGTTTTTTAATCGGGTTTCCGGTACACAGTACTGCAACAGTTTTGTTAAATGTGACATATCGAATTTTTCAGAGTTTAGATCAAAAACTTGCGACCACACAAATTCTACTTGACTTTTCTGGAGCCTTTGATAGTGTGGATCATTCACTTCTATGAGTTAAATGCAATACACTGGCCTTCTTTTGCAACTACTTGCAAAATAGAAGACAAATTGTTAGGACGGCAGCTGGTGTGTCGAAAGTTGATGAAGTGGTATCAGGGGTGACTCAAGGATCAATCTTGAGGCCGCTATTATTTTCACTGAATATATTTGATTTGAGTACCGCTCCGTCAATCTCAGTCAGACGCTGGCGATACCCATCCTGTTTATATTTTTGATCCTGCAGCAGGTTTTTACTTCTAGTGAGAGACATGCTTTAATGTAAAGTGCTGTTAAAACTCAGGTGCTACTATTTGCTCATGACTCTGCCATGCACTTTCTGAAAAGCTATTGGACCTTGAGATAAATGGAGAACCCTTGTCGTTTGCTACCGACCTCAAAAATGTAGGAGTAACGGTGGACGTATCATTAAGATTTAGTAAGGGCATTTCAAATTTAAGTAAAACAGCTTACCTTTACTTTATACGTCAATCAGCACGTATTGAACCTTAAAGTTAGGAAAAAAACTCTGTGAGTCATATATTATGTCTGTACTGTCATATTGCCTAGTATTGTTTAACACTCCTTGATCGTCAACGCCTTCAAAAAATACAAAAAAACTGTTGTAGGTTTGTGCATGGAAATGTGACCGTGAATATGACCGCGTGTCCCCTAAAAGTAAATTGTTGCAGTGGATGAGAATAGACAATTTATTTGAGTACCTATTCGCTGTGTTAATATACAAGATCTTAAAGTCTTCTAGCCCTCCTTATTTAAAAGATAGGCTAGTTTTTCGCTAACTATACCTCAACACAGATCTACTCTTTACCAGCGGGGGTTTACCTATAATGCGGCAAAAAATTTTAATCGGCATAGACGCTTCTTTGCCTTATCATCCTTAAAACTATTTTGAAAGAACATCAAAGGCATGTTATTAGATAAACAAAGTGCTAGTTGGGTTTTTCGTCTTTTAATTAATCACAGAATTATTTCTATAATTACTTACTTTTTTTTTCTTTTGTTTATATTTTATTTTTCTTTGTTCTCTTGATACAAGTGGCATGTCAAAAAGGTGTATAATATATAGATTAGTTGGCTTAATGTTGAGTAGCTGACTTAGTCATATTAGTGTATATTATGTAACTCAATTCTCCATTATTATTATTATTATTATTAACACATTTTTTTATGAAACATAGATATATCAAAATAGCGATATTCATTTAATATTTAGGAGGTTCTAGGTTCACCATCCAGGTTTGTTCTTGGATGTGCAAAAATTTAAAGCCTTCTGTAAATAGCAGTTTTCGACCAAAACAGTAGAGTAGCTAATAAACAATTGAAACAAGCAGTAGCATACTGTGGTTGGCCTATCCTGAATTCATGTAAACTTCGTCTACCTGTACTGCCTGAGTAAAACACCTAACGTTAGAAACAGTAAAGCAATAAGTCATGAAACCATGGTTTTATACATCAATACAGCAAGAGATACGAATGTACTAAGCGGTGATTGTTTGTCCAGAAAACCTTTGTTTCAGTTTGACATTTAATCAAAAGCTGACACAGTGAATGTTTAAGTTTAAATCTTCTATGCATCTGAAAATTCATGTTTATAGTACTTATTATTTCAGAACTAGGCTGTAGGTCTTGAAGTGTGTTTTTTCTTGTTCGCTTTTTGAGGAAATTACTATAATAAAATATTTAGTTTATCAAATTCCCATAATTTCAACTTGATTTCTTGAATGGCTAAAATTCACACTTTCAATTAAAAAAATATATATAAATATACATATACATTCTAAGAGCTCAAGACAAACATAATTAAACTTCTAACCAAAAGGAAGCACGAAAATCACTAAATTTCCTTAGCACTTGCGTAAAAGCCTAATAGGATCTTTTTTATTTGAGAGTTATTTTAATCTCATCCAAAGGCAACGTTTACATTCAATACCATTCTGGTTTCCGCAACTCGCAATAAAATTCCACTTTGGGAGTTCCTCTCAAAGGGCAACAAACATACGTATTTTCAAGCTGATTCGCTCAATTTGAAATGTGCAAATAACCAGAATCCGTAACAACTTTTCGTCGTTTTATAAGCGTCACATTTTCTTCTCCAATTTTCCGTCTGTCCTCGCTCAAAAATATTTTCGTTTCAAATGGAAAACGAGTTATCAGTTCAATAAAAGTCTCATTTGGCGCTTTGTAGGATCGAAACTCGAAATGCCGCCGGTAAAGCAATTCAAGATTTAATGGCGGCAAATGCGATAAAATACAGGACTCTCTGTTATCGGATAGAAAAAAACGCGGGGTAAGTCGGAATTTAAACATCAGACGACTTCCTTAGTCCCGGATAAAGGAGAGTGGCTTATACGACATCTGAAGTGAATTTACATAAATTTTGCCATTGTGCGCCCCGACATTTTCATCCTTTCGAATGTGTAACAGAAACGGTTTTGTTTAATATCGCGTGGAGCAGCCAAATGTTAAAACCTGCAGTCTCATATGAGAAAATATATTCGAAATATATGCGTGGTGTATTTTTAAGAGCTCGTATTTCGAATATCAAAGCTATTTATTTTTAGCTGAACATGTTCATTTACTTTGCAGCAGCATGTTAGTATAAGAAGATAATATGTACGCTTTAGACTTAAAAATAAAAAAGGTAACAATAAAATAATTGCAATATACAATACACACCATACTACGTAATTTCTTATATTATAACAACTTTTAATGGAAATCTTTTAAAATCAGAATGCTCTTTCCTTGAAAAGTTTCTCTGCAATAATTAAGACAAAACTCTCGTCCTTGTAAAACTTTTCGAATACAATTTACATGCGAATTTATTGGGGAGAGAGAGCAAGGAATAACAGAAGGTTCCGGCGTTATCAGCAAAACAAATTTATTTAATTAATTTAACGATGGAAGTTGAAATTCTTTCCATTTATTTCATAGGCGGAAAAAAAGTACCGTGCAGAATTAACAATTTATTATATATATATATATATATATATATATATATATATATATATATATATATATATATATATATATATATATATATATATATATATATATATATATATATATGGGTGTTAATCCGGGTGTTCATCCGTTCGTTGTTTGACCCTGGAGTAGGATCATTCGCCTGACGTTTCGCCAAAATATCACTTGGCATCTTCAGAGGCCGCGCGTCCATGTCACTCCTACGTGTCCGCACTTAAAGTTTAAGTGCGCGGACACGTCAATTTAAATATTCCATCATATTTTGAATTAGATGATAATTAATAATATATCGAATATAAAACTACCTGTACACTTGTGTGTATGGTATATCAGCATTATAACATACATAAAGGCCTTTTATATTTAAGAATTTTATAACTAAAAAAAAAAAATTTGTTGCCATACTTACAGACTTAAACTTATTTTCCATTGTGATTGTCTTGACAGAGATTATGGTTAATTATTTTTTTCAAAAATTTATGAGATAAGTAGAGATAGATGTGAACAAAAGTTATTTAGAATTACGTGTAGTATTCAAATGTAGGGTATTTAATTTGAAACTGTATGTTGCCATTACTTTTTAGTACACCTGGGATCGCTGCGTTAGCGAAATATCCAAAAAATTCTAAAAACCATTTTTATGTCAATAAGAAATTTACTTCTCGTGATAAAGCTGAAGGGACATAAATAATTCACACAGCTTAACAAGAATTTGTTAATTATTGTTGAGACACGCGGTTGTCCTTTTATTTTTAATTATTTAGTTAACGGAGGTCAAGTTCGAACAAACAGCGTCACTAGCATGAAACACGAAATCGAATTTCCACCATCAATCCTAACTAACCGAAACTTTCAAATGTACAACATAACTTTAACTTTGAAGGGACTTCGTTTCCAAACAAAGCGATTTTTTGCTGTTAATGCCTAAGGAATTTTTATCAAATCCTTTTTCGGAGGTTGTAAAAATCGATATTACTGAGATACTTGCGTTTCCGTTTCAGAACCAAAGAGATCCACTTCAGTCTGCCTCCCCTTCGTAGTAATTCCCTCGGTGATTTGGAGTGTCAACAAGACCACCCTTATGATTCAGATGTAGACACACTGATGCGCTTTTGATACCCGGACAAGTACACAATCACCGAAGTAATTCGTTCAGTAAGTTTCATTGGAAAACTTGTACATTTCTTTCACTTTTAGTAAGGTTACTACTGTATTATTTATTTATTTTTTACGCAAGAAGCTTTTACAACAAAAGTAATCATAAAATATTGAAAGTAACTTAATGTACAAAAAAAAATTGAAAAGTTAGAGAATTAGTTACATTTTTGCATTTTTAGACTAAAACAAAACAGGAAATATCTTTTTCTGCGTATTCACTTAAGAAATTCATATGTCAGCGCGATTATTCTTCTTACTGTTGTACTTAATTGTTTATTATGGCGCATTCACCAATTTGTCAACAAACTCTGAAATTGCTACTGCATATTAGGTATTTGTAATCATTACCTGGCTCCGTTTCTGTAATACGTATATAGAGATCACATCAAACCAGCATTTCAATTTTGTAAAGTTGAAAATTACAACATCTGCATAGAAGTTCATTAAGCTTATTCTTTGGAGAGAAAGATATTCGTTGCTCAGATCAAGAGAATTAAATACATTTTTGCAGAAGTTTATAGCACGTATAAAGCGGTACTTTTTGAAAATCTATTCGTATTCAAACGTAATAAGCTTTTAAGTGCGCTCAAGATATAACTAACTAATTTAAATTAAATTCAAATTCATCTGCATACATTTTTAGAGGTCAATTGGTTTATTGCTTTTTGTAGTCCGGCAATTTTGATATTTCGAAATCACGTTAGCTTCATTTCCACTAAAAGTTATCCCATTAGAATTTATCGGTAAAAACAATTCGGAGCGTAGAAATAAAGTGGCAGTATGAACATTTTTACGGGACACAAAAAAAAATTAAAAGTACGTTTTTTTGACTTTTTTGACAACACAACTTCAAAAATATGTGACTACAATCATTTTTTTCAATAAATAGTTTCTTCTTCTGATAGTTGTTCATTTAGGGTAATCCTTTTGAAAAACGAGTTTTTATTTTTTCCTGCATGCCAATTTTGTTTACGACTAAAAAGGGGTATTTTTTACTACCTATAATTATTAAAGGGGAGAACCTTATAGGAGATCACACTGTACGATGTGCCTTCCCAAAGCGATATTTTCATTAAATTAATGATGGCACAAACAGAGATGTCATAACCAATTAGAATTTTTATATACAGAGTGATCTTTAAAATTTTGCATTTTTAGACACTCTTAGTCGTTCGCTAAGAGGAGGAAGAAATTTTTGGTAACGAACAGTATTTTAGGAAAATGGAAACCTTTATTAAAACGCATTAAAAAAACAGAAATATCGTGTACAAGAAACCGCCGTTTCATCTTTTAGATAAGTAACGCTACCAAATTACCCTGTAACTAAAAATTGAAGACAGCTATGATATTTCTGTCATAGTCTCTGAATATCATATAAAAACAGCTTTAGATCCCGAAAGCCCCAACATGTTTACTATATATATATATATATATATATATATATATATATATATATATATATATATATATATATATATATATATATATATATATATATATATATATATATATACAAAAGGCAATAAACATACAGTGACTCACAGCTTAAATGATGCAGTCGCTATAACAGAAACAAACTGGTCTGAATGTCTCTTTATTTATTTGGAAAAAAAACAGCTTATTGAAATTAAGTTAGAAAAGAGCCTTCTAAAAAGGTGTGAATTACTTATTGTCTTAAATATTCCGTACGTAGTTATCAAATAAAGATTTAATTAAATTATATAAAATATTAACGTCACAGCTTAAATGATGCAAAACAAAATACAATCAAATGAATAGAGAAAAACAACTGCATAATTTGAAATACTCCTGCTAATATTTAGTCGTGCCTCCCTCATTATCGATAACGGCTTGCAGTCTACTGGACATTGATTCAACTAATTTTCTAGTATACTCGGGGTGTTCCATGCTTCAGAAATTTTTACTTTGAATTTATTCTTGTTAGATATTATGGAACTCTTTACTTTGGTTTTTAATGTCAACGACAAATTTTCAATTTTATTTAAGTGTGGTCACTGGGCTGGTGTCTTAATAACATTTGGGCGGTTATAAAGCAACTAAATGACGTGTGCTTTAGAACCGATAATTGTTACCCATATTTAATTTTTAGGCACTAGCAACCAGATGCTGTCTTAATATATCCAAATACAAATATTGGTTGCATATTACCTACTCCTGCAGATGACATACAGCCCCATAACCACCGTAGCTTTTAAATTTTTCAATTTTAATTCTTTCTTAGGCTGAAGTTTATTTTGGTCTCATCGGCAAATATTAATCTCACGCGTCTATTTCTTCGGCTAATGAAAGGATTATTTCTGGCAGTTCGACCATGTAAATGATTTTTTCGCAGGATTCATCGTATTGTTTCGAGATTACACCTTTTTCCAAACTGTCTTTCCACCTCGACACACATCTTTGGAGCACTTTTTTTTTTGATAATTCGGTACCTCTCTTACAATCCATCTTTCCTCACTTTCATTGAAGATCTTATTTGGAGCTAATATTGACTTATTCTCAACCCTATTTTCGTTTCAGTTACTCTTAGTGATATGCTGAACAGTTGATGGTTGATGATTTATTTACCATTTTGTTTGGCTGTCTCTTTGTCTATATCCATTTCTGTGATGAGTAATAATTAAATTTCTCTCAGAAATTTTAGTCCGACGACCCATTTAAAAAAAAATTAGTTTCCGAAACGGAAACGTGGTTTAAAATGACAAACTAAACAGAAAACATTTAGAACAATAAATAGAACTTCAAACTAATAAGTTTTAACCCCGGTTATTATTTTTGTATCATTTATGCTGTGACTTTAATATTGTATTTAATTTGATTAATTCTTTATTGTTAACTAAGTATTTACCATTTTGCCTTTGTCTCTTTGGCTGTATCAATTTCTGTGATGATTAAATTTCTCTCAGAAATTGTAATTTTTTTTAAAAAAATTCGTTTTACTGAACGAAAACTTGCTTTAAAATCATTTCAGCTGTGATGTTAATATTGCATATAATTTAATTAATTCTTTATTATTAACTAAGTAAGGCATATTTAAGACAAAAAGTAATTCACATTTTTTTTTATGTTATAGCGACTGCATCATTCAAGCTATGAATCGCTGTATATTAAAAATGACTAACTAAACCAATCATGTGAAATGTACCAACATTTGTAATAATTCTCAAATATTTCAGGCAATAGAAACCGATTAATCATTAGCGATTTACGAGTTTTGGTTCAAAAGCCAGAAAAACGAAAGGGACTTTTCTGGAGCTACTTGCTAAAAAATACATCGCTGTTCGATTATCCGACACCGAAAAAAAATAGATATATCACTTGTGGACTATGAGCGAGTGGCGTTCGAAAATCAATCAGTCAAAACTTTCACAAGGCAAGACAATAGAATAAAAAATTAAGCAATAACTCCTCCGAAAGTTTCCTGACTAGGCCCCAGATTAATGGGAAGAGGTTATAAAATATGGCTAAAGTTTCCGAGCCCTTTCATTAGTAAAATAAAATTTGTGGAGTCATTTTTTCTGCTAGAGACTTATAAAAAAAAATCAATGGAGAAAATTAACGGTTTCAGGCTGCTACGGTCTGGGCGTCATAGAGCCTGCTCTATACAGAAGCACGTTGGATCTGGACGAAATCCAGTGGCCGGATGGACATATTGGCCGTATTTGGTTCTCCCTTCGATACGAGCCGTCCACAGAGAAATTATTGGTATCACTACTGAAGGCCAAAAATCTCCCTTCTCGCACTATGGGCTCGGTGAACAATTGCGACCCATTTGTAAGGTAAGTTACGTAATTTTGCTAATCACAAATAATAATTATAATAATTAAACATTTATTAACCTAAAGTTCATCGCATGCAATGTAGGCCGATTATGCATATTAAGTCAATTTCAATCTCAGACACCAGTATTGAAGCTTGTGTACACGTCTACCACAAGACTTATCAATGCAAAAGAAGAGATTCACTTAGCAAATAATAAGCCTAAACTAAACTAAAGAGAGAACCAATGTCATGCTAGATTTTTAGAAAACTTCGCGACCTACCGAGATATAGGGTGCTATTCAATTTTCTGTTATTTTATATTTTTTCTGTCGTATGTATTGGAGTACACAGATTTTTCTATAGTTCTCCGTTTTCCACCAACCTAATATCAAAACAAAAAATTTTTGTGAGTACCTCTATCTCATAGTTTCAATTTCAACAAGAATAAAGCAGTTTGTTACAAATTATTTGACATAGTTAAATAAGAACAAGCGTTGTTCGGATTTTCACGTAAATATATTTAAATGACAGCTTTTTCGTCAACACCGTGCCTTTATCAAATGCGAATATCAAACGGTACCGATGTTTAGAAATACAAAGCAGATAGTAATTACTTAATGTGAGGTATTACATTGAGATTTAACAAACCATCCCTATACACACAAAATGGCTGCCTTTTATTCTTTCATTCATAGGCTGATAACCATCCCTCTTTCTGCAATAAACTTTGAAAAAGAATTAAATATTATAAAACAAATTGCATTCAACAATGGCTATAACCAGTCACTGATAGATAAAATCTTAACTAAGAAACAATTTCAAAAAACTTTGAACTCTATATATCCCCGCTTTATTACTGAATCTCAAGGTTTTAAAACATTAACATGCATAGGAAAACCTAGTAATAAAGTTTCAGATCATTTCTCGAAATGTGCCCTCAAAATTACTTTTAAAACTAATAACACCCTAGGAAAAATTGTTGAAAACAATAAATCTAAATCTAATAGATCCCAGAATTCTGGAGTCTATAGATTAAATTTTGACAACAATTTCGATATTTTACACACTGTTTTAAAAAGTAGAAAATTAAATTTACTAGAAGCTATGGAGATTAATAAGATGAGAGGTTCGAATGTATTACGTAATGACCGACTGGATTTGAATGGATCCCCCTTGTTAAATCTCAATGTAATACCTCACATTAAGTAATTACTACCTGCTTTGTATTTCGCTATTTAGATATTCGCATTTGATAAAGGCATGGTGTTGCCGAAACAGCTGTCATTTAAATATATTTATGTGAAAATCCGAACAACGTTTGTTCTTATTTAACTACTTTAAATAGAATTTCATCAAGTAAAAGCCACTTCAAAATACAAATAATAGTATGACTTTAGTGTATTATACAACAAAATGTACACGGTGTTTTCTAATCGAATGTCACTCATTAAGGGTGCGATTTTTATATCAATTTTAGAAAGAAAACTTCATATGAACATATGTCGTAAACGTCTTGATTTTTGAGATACAGACTGGTAAAGTTTTCAAAAATGAATATTTTTTATATTTGTCATACCAACTGTCTATTTTACGCTACTGATTTCTGATGAAATAAAAATTAATTTTACAGTCTCCAATCATTTCTAAGGAAATTTAATTTCTCAATTTTTTTTCAATCCGATGTACTGTTTTCGCTTAAGACAATCAAAACCTCTTCTCGACGAGGTCATAACCCTGTCGTTAAAATCCAAAGAAATTAGATTTTATTTTTAGTTGAAAACCGTGCGACGGACTAAAAAGAAATGGAGATATCAAATTTGCTCTGCAAATGTCTATTCTGAAGGAAATCAGTGGCGTGCCACTGACTGTCTATGAACAAATAATATTTTGGTTAATTAGGTGGCCGCTACGCTGGTTAAATCGAGAACTTTTTTGTAAAATATAAAATATTTACCTAAAACAAAATATCTAGTTTTTAATTACCAACTAGTAGCCTTCAGAAAAATAATATTAGAAGAGTGTCCTTTTTACTTTTAATGAAATATCATAACATCCTAACAACAAGATAAATAATAAACGATTATTATTAAAAAAGAAACACATTACCTACTATAAACATTTTTTTTTACAAAATTGTCTGTTAATAAATTAATAACAACCTTTTCTTAAAAAGTAGAACATAACAACTAGAGAAGATGTTGAAAGTGTCCTCCACCTTGTAGGATACGAGCTTCAGTTCTTTTCCTCATATTACCGGGCACTCTTTGTGTCTCTTATTAAATCTACAGTATTAACTGGAATGCGATAAAGCAGACTTTTAAAATGCCCCCATAAGAAAAAGTCCAAACTATTTAAATCTGGGGACTTAGGAGGCCATGGTACTTCTCAATTTAAAATTACTTCTTCAATTTCTGGAGTTCTTACAGTGCGATCGGCTTTTTTAAATGATTATTTGCGCTCAAAGTACCTGTTTGAAAATGTTCTCCTATCTGTTACGACTCTATTAGGAAATTGAACTGAGGTGGCTTTTACTTGATGAAAATCCATTTATTAAAATAAATAAGAACTAAAAGTTCAGATTTTCACGAAATTATATAATATGACATGACAATTGTTTCGACAACACCGTGTCTTTATCAAATGTGACATTTGATTAAGACACGGTGTTGTCGAAACAATTGTCGTGTCATAATATATAATTTCGTGAAAATCTGAACTTTTAGTTCTTATTTATTTTGATTTTTCTATTAGGAAAGCGTTCTTGATATAATCGCCTAGCTTCCGGCACACTACTATCAGCCAACATAAAATGCATATCTGCCAACTCGTCATTAGTAAAACTCGACCATTCTTTTTTACAACAATGCTCGGATATTTTAAACAACAAAAAAATTAGAGAGAAACAACAGCCTTGACAACAGAATTAATCATATAGCTACTAGACATATAGAGGCCCTGCCTATGCGTACAGTACAGGAACAAATGAGGCAATTATGTCAAATTTTTTTGAGGAAGTCCGTTCAACGTGGGCATACGCGACATTTAAAATTTCTTTTTTACCCAGTGCCAGCTCTAATGACAAATTCTGAGGTAGCAGCAGCAACATTGGTGCTGACATTGTCAATATTTGGATGCGGCATTTTTACGGCAATATTTTGTCAAAATATGTCCAAATCCTATTAAATTTTCAGGCAAAAAAGGAGTGGTCTGGAAAAGCAGTGCAGAATTGCACCCCACCCACGTCGGCGTCTGTATAATTCTGTAATTAATTTAGCGTTATTGTTCTTCAAGCCCCGTAGATACGATGCAATTTCGACATGTATTTTTTATGTAAGCTATATTTTTGGAAATCAGCGTAAAACGTTAGTTTTCATAAACTCATAGGCTTAACTTCCATTGTAATAATTTTAAGATGCTAAACATCGCACACGAAAGCAGCTCCTATAGACAGTAATTGACAAGGGATTTTTCTTATGCTTGTTCTAGTAAAAATTAGCTTCTGTTTAGTCAATTCACATGTAAATATTTGTGTAAGTCTATTTTCCAGTTTGTTAAATGTCAAATATATAGGCATCACTTTTTCTCTAAGATCCTATTAGGTCCTCATATTGGCCACATTTGCTGTAATTTCGTATTGAAAGCACAAATTATACAAGTTTGTCAGTACATTACGGAGATATTGACATCAAAAATGAAAACAAGAATGGCACAGTGCACAGACCGTTCTGCGACAATAGTAATTAAGTAATTACTTAGGTCGGTGCTGCCAATATTGTCCGGATTTCAGAGGTTGCGTTCTTCTAAAATTAATTTTCAGGAAAAATTACACCAATGTAGCAACTCAGTCAGTTGGGGAGTGACGCAGGCGCAAAAGACCATGAAGAAAAGAGGTTGTTATCTTTTTGAGCGAAAACCGTACATCGGATTGCAAAAAAATCAAGAAATTGAGTTAATAAATATAAAATGTAAAAATAAGAGAAATCAGTAGGGTACCATCGATGTCTGCTAAAATAGAAATGTGACATTATGGTACACTAAATAATGCCTTTTAATACATTGTAAATGTGTACTAAATTTTCTTAAAATATCGAAATTGGTAGTACAGATATTAAAAAAAAAAATTCTATTCTTGAAAATTTTAACACCCTGTATCTTAAAAGTTAAGACGTTTATAACATATGTTTTCTTTTTAAAATGGACCCAAAAATCGCCCCCTTAATGATTGATATTCAATTAGAAAATATCCTGGATATAAACATTACAACATAAAAAAACATTTCTCAAGGGTTGAGAAGTTCTTAAGATGAAGAAACTCAATATTCACTTTTTTCCTCCCTAATAGCTGAATTGAACGTAAACATTTAATTGATACTATGCCCATTGTTAGTATAGAAATTTAAAATATGAAGAAAATTTCTTTTTAATTTTGTTTTTAATTCTATATAAATTATATCATTATTCCGCAATATTCGAATAAAAAAAAGAACTCCGGATAAACCGATAGGGAAATTTACCGATTTATTGGATTTGCGTTTTTCGCATGCGGAAAAAGAAGACCCGATGCTGGTAATAGCACATAAAATTAATTTGCATGCAAAGCACTTTTTCAGCGAGGGCTTTATCGGAAATCATTTTCCAACGTAATGAGTCGATTTCCAGTTTAAATTCAACCTTGGTATTTTTTTTTAGTTTATCATAATTTCCATTAAATTGTCTTTCCTCGATTTCAAGTGGAATCGAGGTTGCAGTATCCTTTTATAAAAACAAAAGTGTTTAAGAGAAATTGTCAATCCTTACACATTCACGCAGGCGTGGTACAGTTGGTTCTGAAATTAGCCTGCTAAACTGATTTTGAAGTTTGACATTATTTATCACAATTTCGCATTTCATGGTTCAAATTTCAAAGAATTAAAAAGATTCAAACGCACTCCCCAGTCAAGGTCTCTAAAATAATTATTTTCAAAATTTTTAAAAGAATAAAATACCAGACGCATACCAGACACAAATTGCAATGAGACCGAATCCACGCGATCTAAAAAACATTTTAAAATTTTGAAATATAAAGACCGATAAGAAGGGTCAGCCGAAAATCTACGGCTTACATTATTAAAATTTAATGTGAGCTTAAAATTGAAAATGTCATTAACGCAATCAAAGATAGAACGCTGATAGATAGATAGCTGATTTCTAACTTCTCCAGAAGACCAAGTTTTTTACTCCTTGGGCATTCATTTAAAATAATAATAATAATGATATAAATAAAACTTCAGCTGGCTTAGCTTGAGTAGCGAAAGCATATTTGGTCTCTGTTATACAGCATCCTTGTACCTTTGCATCAAATTAACACTTTCGTGAACCCTGATACAAAGTGCTTTTCAATCTTCACAGTTCAAACAATATACGCCTGATCTAGAAAAATAATCCACCAATAACTTTTAATTAGAAATTGCTTCTGTGTATTGTTTGTTTTAAACGCTTTAGATGAACAGGTTTAATGAAATATTTTATTATATATGACAAATTGAATTTGATGTTTTCTAATTGAATGTTAATAATTAGGGGAGCTATTTTTGTGTCAATTTTAAAAAGAAAACTTTATATGAATATAATTGCTAAACGTCTTTACTTTGGAGATACAGGTTGGCAAAAATATTTTAAGGAAATTTGGCACACATGTACTATGTATCAAGAGGCATTATTTAGTGGAATTTTCTCAGTCCATTTTGGCAGACATTGACCATATTTGGGTCGATCAAAACCCCCATTGTAGATGTAGAATTTAAACATCAATAACGGTTTTCGGTAAATGTTTGGGCTGGAATTGTTAGAAATTACTGCCAAAATGGCTCAATGGCCATAATTATCGCCTGTGTTTAGAAGAGGATTTTCCAATATTGCTAGAAGCAGTACTATATTTAATTAGGAACAAAGGAAAAAAAGGTTGGGCTTTTTTTTATGGGGGCATTAAAAGTCTGGTTTATCGCACCCCAGTTAACACTGTAGAAGAGTTGGAGGATCGTATAAGGGCTTTCTGCGATTTAATAATAAACACTGAAGGTATACTACAATGAGTGCGCGGCACTATGAAGAAAAGAGCTAAAGCGTGTATCCTTTAAAGTGGCATTTCAACAAGTTATCTAGTTTCTATGTTCCCCTTTTTTTAATTTATTAACAGACAATTTTGTTAAAAATTATTAATAGCAGGTAGTGTGTCTTTTTTTTTCAATAAGAATCGTTTATTACTTATCTTTTGTTCGGATGTTATGTTATTTCATTAAAACTGTAAAATTAAAAAAACAGTCTTCTAATATTTTTTTTTCTGAAGGACACTAATTGGAAACTAAAACTTAGATATTTTGTTTTAGATAGATATTTTATATTTCACAAAAAAAAAGTTCTCGATTTAACCAGTACAGTGGGGACCTAACTAACCAAAATATTACTTTTTCATGGAGAGTCAATGGAACGCAACTGATTTCCTTAAAAAAATAATGAAATAATTTTAAAGGGCATTTAATAATTAACACTATCATAAAATTATTTAAACATCAATAAAATTATAATAGGATTCCTCTTAATCTTGAAATTTTACCGCCTAAAACATTCAAACAGGCTGCTTATAAATGACTGGATAGTTAAACTCAAATCGCTGCATATGAATTGATTTGAGTGCATGTCACCCTTCTTATTTTGTTATATACCTTTTTTTTATAAATAAATTGATGCAAATAATAATAATATATTCTTTATTCTTTTCTATTTTTTCTCTTCTTTTGTATTGCTTTGCTCTTTAAGTTCTACAGCGTACGGGCTCAACTGGTAACTGGTAACAAATAATTAATATACGGAACATACACAAGAGTTTAGTTTCGAGTGACAATCCGCAGCACTAACAGTGTTACTCCACATAAAATTTACCTCACAAAAGCCATATTAGCTGCAATTGCATAACAATTCCAGTTCAATGTTTCTATCGCAGCGGTCAAAGACTTAAAATGTTCACACAAAGAAGTACCTTCTGAGGCTCAATTTTAAAAAGAATGTTCTCATTAAACAAAAAATGAGTATTCCTGTCCAGTATATGTGAAAAAAATTTGGTCTTGCTCATAATTACGTTGCAACGAAATCGAAAATGGGGTTTTTGAGGTTTTGTCACAAAACTATTTAATATGTTCTCTATTGAGTGGTCTATAATTTAAACAGTTGCTAGTCGATCCGCAGGCACGCATAATTCTATAGCGAGGCTTAATACAAAACTCTTATTTGCACATAGAAACCGAAAACGTTTTGTTATATATGTCGATATTCACTCTCCGCTGTGCGTTTTCCTATTTTACGATTGGCCGAATTTATCCGTACTTCGCGGAATATTCCCCGGCGAAATCCTGTCAGTTTTGCCATTTCAGATTACATCTGATGCCAGACGAACGACGCTACTTACAATCGAAGCAAAAAAAGAAGACCTGCAACCCTTATTTCGACGAAACCCTCGTCTTTCAGGTGAGCAATATTGAAAATCGAAAATTACTGCGAAATAAATGTACTTTTACAGTTATTTTCGAATCATCAACAGAAAACCAACATAAATATGAAAGCAGTACTGGCCAGCTAAATTATTCGTTTCTAAACATATTTTTACAAAATTTTTTTGGAATAATTATTTGCTATTTTAAATACGATATAACAACATATTAATGAAAAAATGTAACCATGCGAAGAAGCTCTCATACTGATTATAAAAAATAGTGCGTCTGTTTAGAATGATTCCACCGTACGTTAAACAATAAATCCAAAAACTGTTAAAATATCTCTTTTAACACCAAGATTACTTCTCAACATGGTAGTTTTTGAAGAACTTACCAAAACGTTTCGTGAATATTAAAAGGAAATTTTCCACCGATGAAAGTGATATTTGATATTTGGCATCTGATATTAGATCAATCGAATTCGTCTGCCGCTTATGTGGAAAATGCTATAACAACAAAACTCCGCTATCTGGCCAGTTAGTCGAAAAGAGAAACCTAGAGAAATAGAGACGTTACATAAATTAGTTCGTGTGTACCGTGACTTTGTTATTTGTTATTGTACATTATTATACGCTTTTTGAGCTGATTCCGAAAAGTCCGAAAAAATAGTGAGAAACCAAGTTTACTTTGAAATGCACCGCGCACAGTGTCTTGAAAAGCAACTAATGAAATTAAAATGAATGAAAATGAAATTTAAACTATTGAATTTCACAAAATTTCATTTTTTTTGTAGTTCAATGTCTCAAGTTCCAAAAATATCATAAGTGATATCATAACGGTATAATAAAAAAGAGGGAATTGGGGGAGCTTTCTAAATATGTATTAAAAAGCTTTGAGTAATTTACAATAAATTAACAAAATATATAGTTTTAACCTTAAACTCAAAGAAATTAAACCAAGAAAACTGGCTTTTACAAAACGGAATTTTCTAATACCTACAGAGTGTATGTAAAATAAACCCAGATATATTAATAGATTTTTTTTTCGTCTGGTATAAGTACGGAGTAACATATTAAGTTGAGAGATAAATTAATTTTCAGGTTTCAGCAAAAGATATGGGTGATCACATATTAAAACTGACCGTGATGGATGGGGGAAGGTCCAAAAGAAACGCTGAAATCGGCCAAGTGACGTTTCCACTCAAGGACCTCGAAATAGGCGACGGTTCCGAGCAGCAGCTTTTCAAAATGGACCTCGAAAAGGTAGGTTATAGTACACAATTTCATCCCGAAATTTCTATTAATAACTTAATTAACCAGAGCGGACGTTTTACAAATCCAAAGTTATGCAGTCTTCTATTACTAATTGTGTCAACTGAAAAATATTGGTTATAAAACGGACGAAAAAAATAGCGATACATTTTTAAAAGAAAAATTTTACCCATTTTAAGCTTCAGTAAGCTCTTTTGATAAAAACTGAGCATTTGCAAGGTAGCGCATTATACTGTTTATTCAGTTGGTCTATAATTAACTAATTGCTGAGTTTGAAGGTATTTAACCCGAGTTTATTGACGTGCGAATTTGACATACGTGTGGATCTATGACAACTAAAGGACCCACCAGACCACCAACTTCCAAAAAATTCCAAAAAAATGTGAATTTTTATATTGATTCTAAAAATGTCTAGAATCGGAAACCAATATAGACACAAATAGAATCCAAAAATAGACACTAAAATTATCTATTATTATCTGTAGAGTACTAACCATGGAATCTCATATTTATTTAAAAATACCTAAAAAACAAAATTAAATAATAGGCGAAAACTGTTAAATTTGTTTTAGTTTATTGGCAAATTAAAATATGAATTTAAAAATAATTAAAACGTATAGTTTAAATGCATTATTTACCCAAGTTTAAGCAATATACTTACCTAACCAAAATCCTTATATTTTAAATGGGGATAAAGCACAAAAGTAATAAACAACATCTAAATTTACGTAGAAACTACATCAGAACTTCCAAATACTTGATTAGAGAAATATTATCTGTTACATAATCTGTAAGCAGCCCATTCTAATAAAAATAACTGCTTTCAAATTTATAAATTAGAAAATTTCAGTAATGTAGACTTTGATTTTGACACGTTGTTTATTGTTAAATACTAATAAAAAAAACGGTATTGAACCACCTGTCTTTGGAAGCTAGATTTTCTTGGTAAAAGGGGCAAAAAAATATACCTCTAGGTTCCACCGAGATTTGAACTCGGATCGCTGGATTCAAAGTCCAGAGTGCTGACCATTACACCATGGAACCTCATATTTAATTAAAAAATACCTAAAAAACGCAATTAGTAAACATGCAGCGCTATCAATAGGTCTAAAAATATACTGCAGATTCAAAATAAATTAAATCAGAAGTCAAAAAGGTCATTCACCGTCACGAAAATTAACTTCACAAAGACTGTTTTACTAATGGGGCATACTTCTTTCGATTCGGTTTGCCTTACTATTTACAAATAATATAAAATCGTAGCCATAAAAGTAAAAATACCACTTGAGAGTATCATTCTTATACATCAATCAAAACAAAATAAATTGTGTGTATAGTCCCTTGAAAATTAATTTTCTTAGTCCATAGGGATTAAAATCAACATCTATGTCCCTAAAAACAAATTTTAAATGTACAAAAAAAAAGGTAATCAAGGTCCCACCGAGATTCGAACTCGGATCGCTGGATTCAGAGTCCAGAGTGCTAACCATTACACCATGGAACCTCATATTTATTTAAAAATACCAAAAAAACGCGATAAATATGTAGTGGTAATCAGTTTTTTTTAAATAAACTGCAGATACAAAACAACAAAAATATGGCAAAGGCAAAAAATTAACGTTTCCACTGGAGGCTGAGATATTGTTTGACGAGTTTGAATAACTCAAGGACCTTAATCTTTATAATTTCATGTTCAAGATCTTATTTAACACTACCTGAGGGCATGAAAATCAAAATTTACATTCCCAAAAACAACGTAATGGTAAAGAAGGTCCCACCGAGATTTGAACTCGGACCTCTGGATTCAGAGTCCAGAGTGCTCACCATGGAACCGTTTTCTATTCAAAAATACTAAAAAACGCAATTAAATATTATGTAGGCGTATCAGTTTATCTAAATATAAACTAGCCATTTAAAATAACTACAATGTTGCATCCCATGTATAAAAACAACTTACTCAAGGTACCACATTTGTTGGGACTAAAGACCCTCAATATCACGAAGATCTTTCTTACTTTTCTGCCTCAAATGTTTTATGTACTTTTTATTAATAATTTTACTTTTAATGTCCTGTGCCAAAATCAAATTATGGCAGCGCTTTGAGTCTGAGAAGCTTAGTCACCCACAGTTAAGAGGAGATACTTAAATTTTCGAAAATTCGCCAAATGTCAGAGATGTTATTTACCATAAAAAATTGATGACACTTTCCAATTTTGTCATTTAAAAATTTACAAATCAAAAAATATATTTAAAAGAGAATAATATAAAATCCAATCCATTAAAAATAAGATACCACTTGACAGTGCCAGTTTTATACCTCACAGAAATGATTGACCAGATGCAAAATAAAATAAATATATTATTTCTTCCCTTTTTTCTTAGTCCCCATTTATGTCCCCAAAAACAACTTGCAAATGTACAAAAAAATTGTAATGAAGGTCCCATCGATACTTAAACTGGGATCGGTCAAAATGTAAAACGTCTGCAAATTTTACAAAGCGGCTTTGATCAGAGGCAATCCCTGAATACCCAAAACATATTTTTACATTTAAATTAATTCTAAAAGCGCCTAAAATCGAAAACCAATATAGACACAAAAAATTGAAATATTGACCATAAAATTATCTATTTAGTTTGCTATTACATGTGTTAAAAAATGTATTCCTAGGTCCCACCGAGATTTGAACTCGGATCGCTGGATTCAGAGTCCAGAGTGCTAACCATTACACCATGGAACCTCATACTTATTTCAAAATGCATAAAAAACACACTGAATTAATATGCAATCTCTGTTAAATTTGTTTTGGTTAATTAGTTCCTAATTAATTGATTGATTAATATTTTTACTTTTATGACACTCATATTAAGGTGAGGCTTCCAATCCCAAAAGCTTTGTTAATCGCCGTTTAAAGACGAAATACCTAAATGTTCCCTAATCAAAAGTTGTAGAGGTCATTAACTTGGAAGACTACATTTTACTTCTAATAGATAATGTCTAGATATCAACGAAATTAATGTTTAAACCATTTTCATACCTAAAAAGAACGATAACAATATGCAAAAAACAAGTGACGAAGGTTCCACCGAGATTTGAACTCGGATCGCTGGATTCAGAGTCCAGAGTGCTAACCGTTACACCATGGAACCTAATACTTATTTCAAAATGCATGAAAAACGCACTGAATTAATATGCAATATCTGTTAAATTTGTTTTGGTTAATTAGTTACTAATTAATTGATTGTTAATATTTTTACTTTTATGACACTCATAAGGCTTCCAATCCCAAAAGCTTTGATCATTGGCATACATATATTAACTTATATTAACATTACGAAAGTATCTTATTCCGCATTCTCGTTTGCCAAATTTATTTAATGAGTCTACCTCTAGTCCAAGTCTGCATAAAAGCATTGCCCATACTTGATCCATATTCCATTTCACTAACCAAAACTAACCAAAACTATAAAAGCTGCCGAAAAAAGCTCTTCGTATTATTTAAAACATCTTCTAATATTAACGAATCTGAAACTCAAATTTGGACAAAAATTATAATTAAAATATATATTAACAGTTTTTCCAACATAAAAAGAGCGTGCCGTTAATCCCAAAGACAAATTAAGCTAGCTGTAAAATCTGCCTCAAAAAGGAAAAAAAATAAAAAAATCAATTTGATAAGGAAATGTATGCCTTTCTCTAAAAGATCTCTAATACTGAGAATCCAGTTTTAAATTACGTTACATATTTCCTCAGATTTAAGATAAAAATAATTAAATTATAAATAGACTCCAAGCGATTAGGATATGAGTATTTTTTTCCTTTTGCCTTTATTGAAGGTTTGAAAAGACTAGTGCCCTAATCGGCAAAAGATTGCAAAAAGATACCTCAAGGTTCCACCGAGATTTGATCTCGGATCGCTGGATTCAAAGTCCAGAGTGCTGACCACTACACCATGGAAGCAGATATTTGTATAAAATTCATTAAAATCGGACAAACAAAGAAAACCCCGACTTGCGATTCAGAGCACATTCGCAAAAATGCTTGCATGCTTCTATCTGTCTTCCGAGATAACCGCATTCTGTACAGTGCACAATTCCAAACGAAGTGAATTATTACATGAAACTCGTACATATCATACAAAAAACCTCAGTCTAAACTCTTCAAGGGCGCTTAAATGGATAGAAAGAAAACATCGTCTAAATATATTAAAATTTATTCACGTTCCAACAAGCTAATGTATTGAAGCTAACAGTTTTTCAGTTTTTCTTAATAGTTTCACGAAGTTAATGATCTGCTATTTCTATGCCACGCTTCCAACAGTCGATGTATATTTTCTTGAAATTAAATTTTCAGTTATTGACATAGTGTTGTTCTCTTATGTTATATCAATATTAAATGGGACATTCGTTGATATAAAGTTTTTCTTAAAATAAATCTATGAATTGTCACAATTAATACATCCCGAAGGAACATCCTGTAGAAAAATATCCCTAGCCTCTTGCGGTCGGTGTAGTTAATCAATTCGCAATTTCAGGAGCCGCAGGAGATTAAGTCCAACGTCGGGGAACTTCTTGTATCCTTATTGTACAACGAAAACCTCAATAGGCTCACAGCCACGGTCATAGAGGCTAGAAAACTAAAGGTGAGTCTTAAACTTTAATTGTGCCATGTAGACAAGAGAGCTGATTTTGCATTAAATTTAATTAGTTCTACTTTTAAATAATAACCATTTTTTTTACGGCAGCAATACTTGCGATCTGGAGGAACTTAATTGTTACTAGAAAATCAATTTTTTCTAGTCCCTTCTGCAAAATACCTATTAGGGAACTTGAACAAAATTTTAATTTGAAAAATGTATTTGCAAAATTTAAATCTTCTTAGAAACGCGCTGCCATTGGCCGTGACCGGCTGTGACGTCAATTCGCGCGTTAGACTACGAGCCAGCCGGACAGCAGCATAGAAGCTATTAGGGAACGATTAAACATTCATCTTGATGATCTTAATATTAATTTTAGTCTTGATCCTGTCGCTTACTTTCGTTAGAAAGTTTTGAAAATAACCGAAACCGATTTTTTAAAACGTCCATCTGCTAATTTACCTTTAATGGACATGTTTATGGTGACATCTTACATATAATACACAAAAAGTTTTGATGAGGTTCGCGGTGTTAAAGCTAAAAGGTATGTTCATAGAATATTTAGCCACTAGTTGAAACCCAATATAATATTGTAATCAGTAATAAGTTTTCTAGTTTTTAAAATTCGAATGGCGTATTAAACAAAATGTAAATTACACTGCTAAGTATCGATGAATGTCATCGGAGAGCAGTACGGAAGATCACTTCGACCGCTACCGCATCGCCGCTCTTGAAAATGTCTGCTGCAGTTGTAGACGAAACGTCGGGGGTAATCTCGGGACCACGGCTCAAAAGCCCGGAAATACTTGGCAGTGTAATTTCTGGCCGTGAAAACCTAACATCTTTGATAAAATGTAAATTATTCAACAGAAAAAAACGAAAAGGATTTTTTTTAAACTAGTGGAAACCTAAATACTATTTTTAAAGTATAACCGAAAGTGTTCTTTATTTTAAATACATCAGGAAGCCATTCCTATTGAGACTGCAATAGGATGGGTGCAAGTTTGAAAAGTTGAAAATGTTTGCACGGTTAAGGCTAAAGTGAACCTGAACATAATGTTAACAAAAGACGGCGGCTTATATTTTCTGGTAGACGAATAAAAAGTTTATCTGGCGTTTTACGCGTTGTACTCAAACACGATAGCACGATTTGTAACATTGTTTTTGTGTTGCTACCATTATTATCATGTAAAGCACACTAAGCACAAATATAAACTGATGTAGATTAAATACAAACACATTTTACACTGGCCAAAAATAAACGTAAATAATATAATTCTCGGCCTGAGAATTATAGTGTTATCGTATCGTATGGATCGAAAAGCAGCGGTATGACGTCACAATCATTCCAGCGCGTTTAGTGTCGTTTAAAAGGAATAGCCGGGTGTCACAACTTTAATTATTCATTGTAACTTAAATATTGGATTTTGAGTCTTGATATTTGGTATGCGTTATTTCTATACATAAACAAAATATATTTTGTCATTTTACCACGTCCGATTCGCTTCCCACGGATCCCTGCCATTTTTTCTGGGATATTGCAGCACGGGTTTGGGAGCAATTAGATGTTTTCAAAGATGTTACCGCACGGCTTGAATTTTAAAGTTTGCCAATTCTGACGGTCATGTCAGTGAATGTATTCGTGTTGTTTTGCAAAAATGTACCCAAAAACTAGCGGTCATAGAAGAAGTGTGTAGTTGTAGCATATTAAATATACTATTTCCAGACTGTTTAAAAATATCTTTTAGCAAAACATGTAGCACGGTTCTTCAATGTACTTTTACGTAATTAATCATTTTTGTGCTTTCTGCCAAAGTTTGGCTACTGTTCAATTCTGTAAACAGAACACTATTCATATAAATAGGCAAAACACAAAATTACCGTCAACAGTTAAATTAAAATTAAAAAAAATTTTGTTCGACCGGAAAAATCCGAGGAAGTCGGCGAAACGAAACGCTATTTTGTCAACAAAATACCTTTCCTGATGTAATTACATTTGCGAAGCGGAACACATTAAGAGCTACCTTGAATTGTAAATACAAAGGGCAAATGTAGCAACCAAAGAGGGTTTTAGAGATGTAATGGAGGAAAAAAGCAAAACTGATTTTCAAATACCGGAGATCAATAAAGATTTCTCGGTATATCCAAACACACATAATTATAACAAAAGCACTTACTTGCAGCAGGTAACTGGAACTGTCTCTTAATACCATATAACTTTATAATTACATTTACAATATATTCGTCACAGTAATTTTACAAAAATTAGCCAAATATATCCACTAAGTTTAGTTGAACAATTGAACAATTTTATCAATAAACACTTTCATAAACGACTTAAACTGCATCCATAAGGTGATAAGATAATTTGCCAATAGACTAGATATGAGTATAGTTCGCCGGATGATATACCGTTTTTACGATATTGGGTATTTAACTCTGGTATATTTTAATGATTGCAGGCTTACCTCGCTTGGATTTCTCTTTGTAACCCTAAATTAATAGATTCGCCATTCCACAATGACTTTACAGAACCATAGTTCTGTACCTCGTGCATACAAATGCTGAACGCTGACGGATTTGTGTAGAGTTTCGTCGGTGAGATTCCTCGGTTATTAGTCCATACAGTGAAAAATCCATTTTTACACACACAACCTCAGTTTCAGCGGCGGCACAGCCACAATTCATGCCGAAAACTCTAGTGATGCTTTTGAGCCCGCAACCACTGAAAAATAGGCGACAGATATTACTGACATTACAGTAGCAGGGAGCGACGGTAAAAGGATTATTGACAGGCTTTAAAATTAATGGGGTTGTGTGTGTATTATGAATATAAATGAAGGAGTAAATAAATAAAACTATGTTAGATAAGTATAAACAAAAAATTATTGTTAAGCGAAAAATTTTGAATGGTTTCGATGATAGATTTCGGTATTTTTTCCGCTTGTGCGAAATGGTAGCTGGCATTGTCCATCACGACAACACTGTTTGGTAGAATATTGGGAAGCAATTTTTCAGAAAACCATTTTTCAAAGATGTCTGCTGTCATGTTTTCGTGATAGTCAATCTTTGCTCTTTGACATCTTTTGCAGAAAGCAACAAAGCGTTATCTACCCAACCAACTTTAGAGCGCCAATGTAGTATAATAATTCGTTTGCCCCGCGCTACTGGCACATCGTTGCTATCAAACTAGGTCTCATCTAAATGTATGATTTCTCTCAAGTATCTTCTTGTCCACCAGTCTGAAATTCTTCATGATTCCATCAAAACTTGTCTCTTATTGATGGTTTTGTAATAAAAACCAATTCTTCGTACGAACGCTAATGTTGCTTGGCAACTCACTACTCAACTTAATGTATAGTTTTAATTGTTAAAACGATATTCTTCTGATATGCATCATATATCAACCGTCTCACTATTCCGGTATCGCGCATGTCAAGTAGACTTTTTGGGATCGCACGATCTTTCCGCGTTTTTCTTTCTTGGACACCATTTACAACTATGTCACGTACTGTGGCATACGGCGTTTTAGCTATCTCGGAAGTTAATTTTATTGCTCCACTTCCGAAATATGACATAGATTAGTTTTTCTGCTTTATTTAGAGGGATAATGTTATTTTTTATGTCTTAGGAATAGCTGGAGCAACAGAGATATTAAGTTAATATATGTCATACGATATTATAATCAGAACAATTGTCAACAAGATGCCACGCAAACAGTAATTTTTTTCTTACATGCGTATATTAGAACATTTCCAAAAAATATCTTTTGACGGAAGGAAATGATGTCTTGGTCAATAATATTGTTGGCACCCCGTACATCTATAAATCTTTAACCCTTCGCCAGTTATCTGTATGAGATGAAAAATTTCTTGATTTTTATAACACGTTGTTTAACCAAGACTTGTCGCAATGCAGTGTGGAGCAAATATTTCCAGCGCACACATTTTTTCCATTAACGGCCGTTGATCTTTCGCAGCAATTAACACAGAAACATATACATTTTACGTAACCAGAACTGGCTCCACTTACCTCTTTTCGACCTCTGCGGCCGTAATCTACGTCGGTATCAAGACAATCTCTTCGTGCGTTGAATTTCAGTACGCGCTTAAAAGTAAAAGTGTAAACAATCTCGCCGAATCTCGGCCTATCATGTTGTGAAAGTGAAATTGTTGACGATCATCGAGGAATAGTGGAAAATCATTAAGGGTAAAAAATATTATTAACTAAAGGAAGTATCTATCTCTAAAAAGCCGCTTAAATGGCGATAGTGGTGAGTGATTTGATGTGGTCGATTTATAATACAAATTGTTATTATCTCAGTACATTTTATTGCCGACACCTTTTTGGTTATACGCTTTATGTAGTAAGGAACTGAGATAATAAATATTATTTTAGCACATACATAAACATAATATAAAATAGTATTCTATAATAGCTACCGAATCTGTTCACGGGAGTTTATTGCATTTTTAAAATTCATACACTTGTCAAACTCCACATGATTCTCTTATTAACTGGAGCCCAATTTCATCCCATGGCGATACTGGGTGTTATCAAAATGACATCGTACAATTTAATGATTGAATCTGGATCCCGCCCTCATGTCGAATGGATATATTTTGAATTCCAATTCGGATAAAAAACTATTTTTAGTAAGCTTGTCCCAACCAACAGGACGACTATCTTGTCCACCATCGAAATAGGAAATTACTGGTTTTGTTAAAATTACGCAATTTTTTAGAACTCGGAGAATAAGTAGTAACAGGGACTGAAGTAATGGTCTCTAAATTTGATAATCAATAATGGAATGACCTATTAATAATAAGTAAAAATAAGTAATAAATTTTTTAAGTAAAAATGGGCAAAATTTTAATACTCAGCACCAAGACAATACTTATTACTGTCCTCTTCCACAAAAGAACCAGTTGAGGATAAGCATTTCTAGATAGCAAATTCCGGTTATAGTGAACGATTTCCATATAAAACGTTCAGTTCTTCTACTTTCCTTAGAGATGCTCAAGAGGAAATTAACTTTCATTAAACTGATAACATGATGCACTTCTATCTGATTCAGGAGATATTTATTTTCAAATAGGTAAGACTTTTCCTTGGTGTATTTTCATGAATCTAGTTCCTGCAAAATCGACTACATCAAACTTTTCGTCGATTATACTTTTGCCCCAGCAGCAGTCCTTAGTTTTTAGCTAATCAAATATGGCGACGTCGACACAATCAACCATCAATAACATGCCGATGTATTCACCCAAACCATTCAAACAAATATGTGACGAACTAAATGAGCAAGTAAAACTCGGCAATGATCGTAACGGCAGCTACCACAAACCCAGCAAAGAGCAGAGCGGAGGAACCGCTAACGAAGTCGCAGTAATTGACATTTGCGACGACGGCTTCAACAAAAAGAAACCGATCGAATACGTCACAATCGCCAGAAGGGCGTTCAAGACGGGACGAACGAAGAACTTTGATTTCAGAAAAAAACAACTTAAAGGTAAGAAAATCCGAGATTACTTCTTGATAAGACATATATACGGATCCAGGGGAATGGAAATTTCAGGCCTTTTGAGGTTTCTGGAGATTCACCGATCGGATATTGAAGAGGCCGTTCACAAAGATTTGCGAAAACATAAACAGGAGACAAATATGTGCGAGATAGAGCTCGTGGCTAACGATCTGAGGCATACGTTAATAGAGTTTAAAGCTTGGGCCTCACCTCGAAAGCCCGAGAAAAGGCTAATTAACCTATTGGATGGAGTTTATGTACAGAGCGATCCTTATGGCGTAGTCCTAATTATTGGCGCTTGGAATTACCCGATCTTACTCACCTTAGGCCCGTTAGTTGGTAAGTAATTTGCTGAGTATAATGATATTTAAATTTTTGCTTGGCCTCTCAAAGCAACTAAGAATACCATTACAAGGTATTATCGATGCGGAGGTCATCGATGTTCCAGCAAGAGCTGCCCTTTAATTCGCAAGGGAAAACAATAAACGAGAAACGATGTTCGCTGAGAATAAAATCAATTGCTTTGGGTTAAATGATAAAAACATGGTAATATCATATTTTGCGAAAGCGTTGTCAAACTTTTACGATTTCTTTGAGGTTTATAGCTAAACATATTTGACTACAATACTGCAATGAAGGCAGTTGATAGTTGAATGAAAAAGATTCAAATTTCATTAAATACGCCTATCAATTGACGTACTTTTTATCCATAACAAAATATCAACAAACAATACATCGTCGCACCAAAATTGTAAACAGGGGTCAAGAGACAATCAAGCTGTACTACAGTCACGCACAGCTTAAATGAGGCAGTCGCTATAACAAAAACTAACTGGTCTGAATGTCTCTTTATTTATTTGGCGAAAAACCAACTTATTGAAATTAAGATAGTAAAGAGCCTTCTAAACAAGTGTGAATTATTTTTTGTCTTAAATATGCCTTAGTTAAAATAAATATTAAAATAATAACCAGGGTCAAAACTTTAGTTTGGCGTTTTAAAACACGTTTTCGTTTAGTAAAACGATTTTTTTTAATGGCTCGTCGGAGTACAACTTCTGGGAGAAATTTAATTATTACTTATCACAGAAATCGATACAACCAAAGAGACATAGCCAAAATGGTGATTAAATGTTCGTTAACTGTTCAGCATATCATTGAGCGTACTGCAACGAAAATACGGTCGAGAATAAGTCAAGGTTAGCTCCAAATAAGATCTTCAATGAAAATGATGAAAGATGGATTGTAAGAGAGGTATCGAATTATCCAAAACAAGTGTTCCAATGATATGTATCGGGGTGGAAAGACAGTTTGGAAAAAGGCGAAATCCCGAAACAATTCGACGAATCCTACGGAAATAGTATATTATGCAACAGGTGCGGTAAACGGCATTTGATTCACGAGTTGATTTGACACGAGCGGAGCGAGTGTTTAATAAACGAGTGAGTTAAAAAAGTTTTTCTACTCCCGTCTGTAAAATACCTAATTGCCCACCGATCTAGCGTGCGGGAAGCGCCACTTTACCACGTCAGTTTCGTTTACCACGGATCCGAGCCACTTCGGATATTTCCGGGATTTTGGGAGCAATCGGATATTTTCGGAGATATTTCCCATGCTTTGAATTTTGACATTTGTCAATTCTGACGGCCATGTCAGTGAATGTGTTGTTTTGCGAAAATGTACCCAAAAACTTACGGTCGTAGAAAAAGTATAGTATGCAACACGTTCGCTAAACTTTTTAGCTCACTCGTTTATTAAAAACTCGCCCCGTTGCGCTCCGCTCGTGTCAAATAAACTCGTGAGTCAAATGCCGTTTACCACACTTGTAGCATAATATACTATTACCGAACGTGTTGCATACTATACTTTTTCTACGACCGTTAGTTTTTGCGTACATTTTTGCAAAACACGAATACATTCACTTACATGACTGTCAGAATTGACAAACGTCAATATTTCCGAGAACATCCGATTGCTCCCAAACCCATGCGGTAAAATCCCGGAAATGAAAAAGTGGCTCGGATTCGTGGGAAACGAAACTGAACTGGTAAAGTGACGCTTGCCGCACGCTTGATCGGTGCGTAATTAGGTATTTTACAGACGGGAGTAGAAAAAATAATTTACATGATCGAACTGCCAGAAATTAGCCGAAGAAATAGGCGTGTGAGATTGGGGTTTACTAGGGAGCATATCGATAAATATTTGAACTTCTGGAGTTCAGTCGTATTTGCCAATGAGACCAAAATAAACTTATTTGGATCCGATGGAAAAATGTCAGTATGGAAAAGGCCTAAGGAAGAATTAAAATTGAAAAATTTAAAAGCTACGTTAAAATACGGTGGAGATGGAGTGATGTTATGGGGCTGGATGTCATTTGCAGGAGTAGGTAATATGCATTTCACTGAAGGAAATAATATATTTGGATATATTAAGACAGCTAGTGGCCAGTGCCCAAAAATTAAACATGGGTAACAATTATCGGTTCCATCATGACAATGATCCAAGGCACACGTCATTTGGTTGCTTTATAACTTGTCCAAATGTTATTAACACCAGCCCAGCCACCAGGCTTAAATGTAATTGAAAATTTGTGGTTGACATTAAAAAACAGATCAAATAGTGCCCCAATATGTAACAAGAATGAATTAAGAGCAAAAATCACTGAAGTAAGGAGTATACTAGAAAATAAGTTTAATCAATACCCAGAAGACTACAAGCCGATATCGATAATGAGGGAGGCCCGACTAAATATTAGCAGTATTTCAAATTATGCAGTTGTTTTTCTGTATTGATTATATTTTGTTTTGCATCATTTAAGCTGTGACGTTAATATTTTATATAATTTAATTAATTCTTTATTCTTAACTAAGTAAGGCATATTTATGACAACAAATAATTCACACTTTTTTAGAAGGCTATTAACTAACTTAATTTCAATAAGTTTTTTTTTCAGACCAGTTATTTTTTGTTATAGCAACTGCATGATTGAAGCTGTGAATCACTGTATATGTCAAACTCAATATTCCTAAACTATTTTTTTTTCACTTGCGTTACAGTTAATTAAATATGGGATATTTCTGTTTTTCGCGAGCTATTCAGTGAAACTATATATTATCGATATCATTTTTCTTTTTTCCACAATCGTTAGCAATAATACAAATGAGCAAAGATACGAGTATACTTTGCTCTATTGTATTAAAAACAGCTATTTTTCTTGTATTTTAGGCGCCTTAGCAGGAGGTAACACAGTTATCCTTAAACCATCGGAATTAGCTCCAGCTACAAATAAACTCCTATCGGAAACCCTAATACACTACTTGGACACTGAGTGCTTCCAAATTCTGTTGGGTGGTATATCGGAAACCACGGAGCTCCTCAAGGAGAAATTTGACTACATATTCTTCACGGGCTCGACGAAAGTGGGCCAAATAGTTCACCAAGCCGCAGCAAAAAACTTAACCCCCACCACTTTAGAACTGGGAGGCAAATGCCCTTTATACCTCGACGATACCCTGAATGTTGAAACAGCTGCCAGAAGAATAGTTTGGGGCAGATTTTTGAACAGCGGACAAACGTGCGTAGCACCGGATTACATTGTTTGCAGCAAGACCGTCCAGGATAAGTTCGTGGAAGAAGCGAAAAAGGTGCTGGAAAAGTTTTACGGATCCGACCCGATGGAATCCGAATGCTTGAGCAAGATAGTGTCCGAAAAGCATTACAAAAGATTAGTAGGTTTTTTAAGATCAGAAAACATTGCCGTTGGAGGGCACTGCAACCCTCAGAAACTTCTCATCGCGCCAACGATTTTAATCAACGTCGGTCCTCACGACCAAGTAATGGAAGAAGAAATCTTCGGTCCGATACTACCGATTTTGAATGTGCTGAACGTCCGAGAGGCTATCGACTTTATAAACTCTAGAGAAAAACCACTCGCGCTCTACGTATTTTCTAACGATAAAAGTGTACAAGATATGTTTCTAACCGAAACATCTTCAGGCGGCGTGGCGATAAACGATACCATTTCTCATATAAGCACGGAGGGTTTGCCATTTGGAGGTGTTGGTGCTAGCGGAATGGGATCCTATCATGGAAAGAAGGGATTCGAAACATTCACCCATCAAAAAGGCGTTTTGGTTAAAGACGTAGGAAGGCTGACAGAAGTTGCGATTTCATTGCGGTACCCGCCTTACAGTGACGCTAAAACGAAAATGATTAATTCGATATTGAAACGCAGAAGATGCATACCGTTTGATGTCTTGGGGAAACTCTTCCTGTTCCTTCTTGGAATCGCATTTGCTTTTGGAGTTCAATACCTATTAAGCTGAATAGATATAGTATAATACCAAAATGTGATATCGAAATTGTATTAGAAAAATATTGCGGATGTTAGATACTTTCATACAGAGTATTAATAATTTAGACAGAATATTAAAATGGTATCTACATTGTCCCATAGCTTTATTGAAATCCCCTTTACTTTTTTATTTTTTTAATTATAGAGAGTACAGAAGATAAAAATGACTGTGCCTGTACGGCTTAAATAATATAACAATAATAAGTCGTGGAAATGAAAAAAAAAATGTTAATACAGTATAGTTTTATTCAAATTATACCATCTATATGTCAACTACCCTACTAATGAATAATGAATGACTAATATTATTCATGTCGCTGCTTCATAAAATATTTCAAATCAAATTCCGACAACTCGGTACAAGAATAAAAGTTACAAAATGTAGGGTTAGTAGCCAAGTTTTTTTTCAAGTGACGTATAAAACAAAACACTATCGATTTTCTGGCAATAAGCCTACATCATATTTTTTAAAATGGAACACCCTGTATATTATATATGGGTTTAATACAATATCTTATTCCGATTACAATGATGTAACACACTTTATATTTTAGTAAACTCTTTTTTGACAAATCGGCAAAAATTGGAAATTTTTATGTAATTTCAAAGGGTGCCGTGACTGACTGTAACAACAATAATTACTTACACATTAAAATAGAACAAAAACAATAAAAATGACAAGACACACTAAAGTAAAAATTCTTTACCTATTCTAAATACTGCTGTGTGTGAACACATTTCTCATACACTATAATTCCGTAAATTTAGTAACGTTTCCGGATAGTCTCTTAACTGGTTGATTGCCTCTGAAATCCTTTGCCGAAGTTTCACGACATTATTACAAGGAGTTCTGGGCATGTGATTTTTTATATGTCGCCAAAAGAAAAAAATCATTAAAGTTAATTCGGGGCTATTGGCTGGCCAATCCATAGTTCCGCCCTTCCCTATCCAACCCCTGTCATATTCCATATTAAGAAAATATTTAACTTGCACAACATTGTGAGAAGGGGCGTCGTCTTGCTGCCTTATAATCAGCACTAATATATTTAGAGGTAAATCTTCTATATATTATTCTATTTGGTGTTCTAAGGGTTGCGAATAATGATCTCCAGTTAATTTTCGATCTATAAATGTAGGACTCAAAATATGGCCATCTATGACACCACACCATATATTAACATAATTAAACCCAGGGGTACCAGGGTTTTTATTTCCTTTATTTGTCTAGGATTATTTGAAGACGAATTTGGCGCATTTTGCCTTGTGGTGAACGAACTTTTATCAGTCTATAAAATGTTTTTCAAAAAATTATTATTTTCATTACGTCTATTAAAAAAATCCAAACAAAACTGCATCCTGCTTTGACATTGTTGTGCACTTAGTTTTTTAGTTTTACCAAATTTAAATGCGTTATATTTATATTCTTTCAAAATTGAGTGGATTGATCCCGGAGAAATACCTGTCTCTTCATATAATCTAATAATAGAGGAAACTGGAAGTGCTTCATGGAATCCTAATATGTTTGCCTTATTTTCTTTATTTAAAACATTATGATTCCGGCATACCTTTTTAGCATTTAATACGTTACCGTTTTCTGCAAATTTCTTTGCCAGCATTGATAAAGTCTAATATACTGACGACGAGCTGCGGTTGCACTTTTATTATTCGTTCATACATTACTCATTTATTATTCAGAAAGTACACTAAGTAAGTACTAATTCGCGAAAAACCATTTTAACAATAATGACTTGGACAATAATACAACCATCAACATTGTTTACTAATATGTCAAACATAAATATATTTTATTCGTCAGTCAGGGTATCCTTTGAATTGTAATCGGAATAAGATAATCTATTAAACATATATATAATATACAGGGTGTAACATTTAAAAATATTATGTAGGCTTATATTTGAGAAAACTGATTGTGTTTTGTTTTATACGTCACTTGGAAAAAAGGTTGGCTACTAACCCTACATTTTGTTTTTTTGTTTACCTTGATATTTCTAAAAATAAAAAAGTTACAGCCAATTAAAACGTTATCAAAATAAATTGACCGCACTGTACAGAATCATTTGTAGGTACATAAACAAACACAAAATCATTTTATCTTTAACTACTTCAATAGTACTCATAATGGACATACAGTATGCCCTATCAAAAACGGATCAAAATAATTTAAATCTTCCTTTTGTTTGTTTTGGTCACACAGACTTTTGTTTTCGAGGCAGAAATAAATTGAGAATGTATATGAAGATACCATGAAATTTATTGGAATATGGGTTAACATGTAAAAAAAACTGCTAATAATCAAATATTTTGACTTTGTCTATTCTTTATTTTCTGTTAACGCTATTACCAAACTTAACGCTACTGACTAGATTTTGCTAATATTCAACAACTTTATCATTTTTATTACAAATACAACCACACCAGTGCAAGTTAACATTTGCTTTAATCTAATACCTATAAAACCATACTAAACGTTGAAAACCCAAACTAACCAAAAACTATCACAGAACTAACGGCAACACAAAAAAAACGTTGCGCAATAACAAATTAGATATCACATGTATCTAGTCTATTTGTTTTACATAATATATATATATATATATATATATATATATATATATATATATATATATATATATATATATATATATATATATATATATATATATATATATATATATATATATATATATATATATATATATATATATATATATATATACAAGTAAACTTACATATGCCCTCTTTATACTTTTCTAAGTATGATTTAAATTGTATTATGATGTTGGCGACATAAGAAGACGTTACACCAGTCAAATCATGTATGGTATACAGTAGATGTATAGTGCCGATATAAGCAACAGAAACCGTACATAACCTCAATTTCCTAACCCCCCCGCAGCGGGGGCCCCCCGCGCGTGGCGTCCTAGTGTCCCCCCTGTCTACCAGAGTGCGCTCCGCCCCCCACCCAGCTTGTGTAGCGTCCTGTTTTGCCCCGGTTCCGCCCGTCGCTGCTAGATGTCGCCAGCTTGTGTAGCGTCCTGTTTTGCCCCGGTTCCGCCCGTCGCTGCTAGATGTCGCGCGCTCCGACCGTCGTAGGCCCCCCCGGTAGAGGGCGGTGACGGTGCGGCGCGGTGACGCGGTGGATCGGGAGGATAATTAAATAAACTTGAATTTTAATACATTTTATTTTATTTATAAAATTGGTCTGGCGAGGAGTTTCTTCTTCTTTTTATGTCGATTCAGTCGACCATCCCATTGTTCCTGTTCCTTGCGTTGTTCTTCTTCCCGTTCCCGGAGGAAATCTAAATACGAAGTGCACTCCTCGCCGTCCCACTCCGTCGACCACCCACCCGGGTACTCCTGCTGCTCCTTTGTTTCTTTTGATCCACCGGGTTGCTCCTGCTGCTGGTGATGTTCCCTTGTCGTTTCATGTCGTACCGGGAATTCTAACCCCCGGTACTCTTTGTGTGATTTGAATATGTGACGCCCTAAGCGATGCGCCAACATAATATGCGACTTGTCATACGGACAAACCGCGATTTTTTCTAGAACAAAACAAAGTATGATATGTAGCGTTTCCTATAAAACACACATTTTTTTTTTTAAACAAAACTTCCAAAAAGGGGGTTATCAAATAATTTTAAAAATTGTTTTTTAAGTTATACGCGCATACCAAAATTCACGTTTCAATTCACTGTCATTTAAATGTAAGTGTATTATTGTCAAAAGGGCAAACTGCAATTTTTTAGTACAAAAAATAAACAAAAATATGTATATATTTCGCGTTTTCCCCATAAAACGCACATTTTTGAAACAAAACTTTCAGTAATTTTAAAAATTGTTTATTTTTTAAAAGCCAAAATTCCCTATTCACTGTCATTTAAAAGATATTAAAAACGCTCAATTTAATTCGATTATTATTGTCAAAAAGGCAAACTGCAATTTTTTAGTACAAAAAATAAAACATTTTTGAAACAAATTTAAAAATTGTTTATTTTTTAAAAGCCAAAATTCCCTTTTCCATTCACTGTCATTTAAAAGATATTAAAAACACTCAATTTAAATCGGTTATTATGCAACGTAAAAAAGATGAGTATCATATTTTAAAAACAGGTAGAAACTAACCAAAAAAGTGATAACCCAAACTGAAACCCACAAGAAAAGACGCGCACTGTATAAAGGTAATTAAAATATAAAACTTACCAGTTGTAGGGTCGTAGGGAAATGGACATCGCACTTCTGTATTCATTGCACTGAATATAGTCTATAATACACATGCAACGTATTTATACACATGCACTCCCTTCCATGGTTGAATTAAAAGTCGAAAAGGTCTTCTACCCACAAGCACCAACGCCGATTTGAATAGACGCGATGTTGTCGCCAGACAACCGTGCAGGTAGGAGTCTCAAGGTCAACACGCTTTCACACGGGAACGCAACCGTTTCGGAGTTGGACGAACGTATGTTGCCGCAAAAGATCAAGGCCAACTTGCTTTCATTTTTTACAATCTCCGTATGGGATGTGGAATTTCAAAACGCGCCGAGTCTAAATGTCAAGTTGTTTTGCTTGTTGAGAATAATAATTAATTGCCCCCTTTATATTTGCTCCGTGGGATTAACGTAATGGGAAAAATTTGTTGCAACGCATGTGGAGGTGTCTTCGTTTGTTAACTTTTAGAAAGTATTCTCGCACCGTATAAATACATCTCATTTTTCTCTGTTTTGTCAGTAGTTGTTTTTGGTATTATTCGTGCAACGTGGAAGCTAACTTAGTGGTTTGGTGTTCGTACAAAAAAGCAGTAAGTACCTTTTTTATTGTCTTATTTTAATTCTTTAACATTTGTTATTATTTTATAAAGGTCCTAAAGATCATCTTAGTACTCTCAACCCGTAACCGCAAATAGAATAGCAGCAATCTTAAGCGTAAGTTTTTTTTATTTTTTTAATTTTGAGATAAAATAATTAATAATAATTTATAGATGGACTTAAGTCAACTGAATCAAACCTGTCTTGCAGAAGGTGATTTTGAGCAGCCGATTGTC